GGCAACAACATTAGCTAAATAAATTAATAACTTTGTACTATGTACTTTGTACTATGTAAGCAAAATTTACAATGTATGTATGAACTTTAAAAATAGTAAGGCTTTCAATATGTTTTCAAATTTAAACGCATTCAAAAAATCGTGTATCAAATTGTAACACTTGAAAGACAGAAATAAATAATAAATGTAGCACACATTTTCCCTAGAAGATAATTAAAATTTAAGGATAAAAGCTTAAATATTTTTCGCTGTGTACGTTACCTATAAACTTATTTCCTCGGGACTTTAAGCTTCTACGGGACAAAACCTCGTGATGGGGAAAAGGGTGAAGAGATGGGTTTATAGGGGAACAACAAAAGTCTAAAATTTCCAACGGGCGAGGAGGCTGAACTACAAACATCGAGGGCCACGATAACCCCTTATCTCTGTCAACTGGCGTAGGGTCTCTGGAATGTCGGAGGGGTTGGGGCCCTCGACTGGGGACATATTCACATATTCCCCCAGTGTTTTATTTTTTTTAACTCTTTTCGTTACGTTTCGTTTCGTTTGGATTCGCTGCCAGTACCGATCGCTGTTTGCTCTTTGTGCATTCTTTCAGTTTGTTTTGCGACGTCTCTCTGTGTGCCTTTGTCGCCTGTTCTCGGCTTTCCGTTCTCCGTCTCTGTCTCCGTTCTCCGTTCTTTGCTCCCCCAATTCTCCGTTCTCCCGTCTCCCGTCTTCTGTCTTCTATCTTCCGAGGCATGCAGTCATCGGCGACGTCGCTGAATTTCATTTCAGCCAAACCAAACCAAACCATACCAAAACACCAAAACCAAAACCGAACCCAAAGCGAACTGAACCAAACCGATGGTGATTCATCGAAATTAAAAATAAGTGTTTTGTATCTGTATCTCAGCGCTTGTTTCACATTCGCTGCTGTTCTTCTTTTTGTTGTTGTTGCTGTGGATGTTTTGCTCACATTCCATTGCAGGCGATAGCTTCACTATTTTCCCTGTTGCTGTGAGGATGGAATGGGTTTTCAAAGTCGAAGTTCTCTAATATGTTTGAAAATCTAAATATGTAGATTTACTTTGGAATTCTAAAGCTGTATAAATTTGCATAAATCTGGTAGTTTAACTTGTGTAAAACGAAAAAGTCGTTATAATTTATTATCGGTATTGTAACCCGAAAATTAATGTTACTCCTCATAGTTTTTAGCCATAATAGTTTGATATAGGTATTTTTGATTTGATTTTTGAACTTAAAATCTAGTTTTGTATTCTATTATTTTTTCTTAACAAGAAATTATGCTGAATCCTTCACTTGTTTAATGTACGCAAATGTATTTTTGAAATTAAACATAAGCCTTGTTTTAGAAAAATCTTTAAAAATCGAAAAACCTAAAACAATTTAATTAAAATCTTGGAACTTCTTATACTTCTGTTTCAGTTAAAGTTTGTTTTTTAAATGATTTTAAATTAAAAATAATATTGCGGTTTAAATAGTTCTTAAATGTAATTTGAAACTCCAAAGCAGGAAGCTGACCTGGGAAAGAGTGTACCACTTGACTGAGATTTCACAGGGATACTCTCCAACTCAGCGCCCAGATTAGTCACCGAATGCTTCCTGCTCTCGGTTCAAGGACACCTGTTTCCACATTCCACGCCAAACGATCCCCGGCATGCAACATCCGCCATTCAGAGGCAGGTAGCTGAGTGTGTGGCTGCTGTGATAACCTTGCCGCGATTGCAGATGGTGGTGTATTGGTGGTGCTGATGCCGTTCCTATGGCTAGTCCTAGAGCTAATGGTGGTGCCTCGAATATCCTTCCTTGGTCACCTTGGGCGGCATTCACGAAATGTGTATCCATGACACGCACACACACACACTCACACACACACCCATGCGACGGGGTATCCAGGGGACACACACACACACGGGTCCGTTGTGGATTAAAATTTCTTCGTTCCTTCTACTTTTTTATGTACGTAGAATGCATTTCCCTTGGCGAAGAGGGAGCGAAGCCAGGGCATACTGTTTGTGGGGGAGAGGGGGGAGGGGGGCATTTATTTTCGGCATTTGAAGTTAGTCCTTTGAAAAAACGGGGGTTCGAATTCAAAGCGCTAGACCGAACGAATCGCAGCGAAAGGGACTGAAATGGAAATGTGCGAAGGGTTGCTCGACGGCCTGAGTGTGTGTGTGTGTGTGTGTGTGTGTATATGTGTGTGTGAAAGGAACACATTTGGATGCCAGACTGCCGTCGAGTCTCAAACTCCCTGTGCGACATTACGGCCAAGTGTAAGCAGCAGCAGCAGCAGCAGCAACATGAGCACAGCAGCAACATCAGCGACAGCCCAGCAGCAACATCGAATCGATTTTGGAATTCGTCTCATGGCGAGTGTGTGGAAAACGCTGATAAATGGGAGTTAGACTCGGGGCACGGCACCCAGGATACCCCCTCGACGGCTTTAACTGCCACGGCCATGCTAATGAGACCCCCACAAGAAGGACCCACACGCTGGGAAGATATGGCACTGATGTTCATAATATATATCACACATTGTTCATGTACTTGTGTTTCTTAACAAAAACTAAATTATAGTTAAATTCTCTCTTTTTTCTTCTTCGTTTGTTTATAACAAATCAAACTTAATGTTTAAAAACTCACTTTAGTTAAATTTACCTCACAAAATTTGGTATTAAGATTGTACTTTTATGCAGATGTTACTTCAAAGCACTTTTATATTCAAACTAATATAAAACAATAAACATGTTACACATGATTTTATTTAGTACATAAAAAATTACGTTAATGAAAACATTTTCACATGTTAATTATCAACAAAAAAAATGTTACAAAGTATTGGGTATTGGATATTGCCTAAGTAGCTGATTTAAAAAATTGTTAAAACGATTTCCGATTCTAGGATTTAGGGCTTTTACAATCGAGCTTATTAGTTGTTTTATTTTATACCCCAGTCATATGAAAGAAAACATTGTAGGGTTGCAAAGTTTTTTAAAAAGTCTGATTAGTATAGAGATATACATATTTAATATACACATTTAATTGATATTGCATTGTTTTGCTTTTCACAGTGTAACAATTGCAGCTGTCCCCTCCGAACGACGCAAATGCAGTTGCAGCTCAGCCGGAATCTAGTACCCACAACCCCCCCTAAAACCCACCTCCTCCACCCACCCACCGTGACCGATAAGTGATGAGGCCGGGTCGGTGGGTGGTTGCCCGTTGGGGGGTGGCTCCGTTTGTTTGCCAACGTCGACGCATTGATAAGATAAGCAATAGGCAAGTCGGAAAGTCTGACATCGGGCCCATGGACCCCAGAAGCGCGGAACAGGGTCCCCGGAACCCTCCATAGCCGTTGTTGTCGTGACTAGACGCTTTCTTACGGCTGCGTTTCAGAAAATTCAAAATTCATAGAATGCAAATGTTGGTTAAACAACATTTTGCCCGGCACACGACCGCGCTGCCAGGTCCAGTCGCATTTCCAGTGTTCGGTCGCAATCGCAGTCGCAGTCGCAGCTGAGGCACAAACAAAAACAGAAACAAAAATAGAAACAGAAACAGAAAGACCACACCGATTCAGGTCTCGACTGGGAAGCATTGGAGGAAAGGGGCGGCCAGCGAGAGCTTAAGTCAGGTTTTGTGAGTTGAATTTTAAGTAAAACTAACTTAAGCGGCCCGCTCGGTCCAGGTTATAGCACTAGAAATACCCAACCCAATACCGGGGTTTACATTACACCGAATAAGGGACTGCGGTCTTTGAAAGGGAATTCCCAGATCAGAATTAAGCTTATAATTTACAGCTTGAAAACGAAGATGCTTTAATGTCTCGAAGTAAATCCCCCCAAGTGGACTACAAAAATCATTTAATAATTAATCTGAAACTTACGTATTGCCTGCAAATTACTCTTAATTTGTCGCATCCCAGAATGAACTATTGAAGTACAAAATCGATCAACTACATACAAATTCTCTACAGTTTTAACAAGTCCTTAAATTTAAATTTCATTTTAAGTCTAATTTTAGTGAAGAATGCGTTATAAGTAAATGATTTTCTTTAAAATTTTATGTTTTCACAAGTCTTTACAGAATGAATGAATGATTGCAGAAAGTAGTCATTAATCCTCTTGACAAATTGCATTATTTTACGAATATGTGTGCGTTCCGATTTTATTATATATAGTCTTGGGACTATTTTAAGCAAACTAATGCTAAAATAGACATGGCTTGAGGGCTGATCTTATAATGAGATATCCTTTATACATCGATGGATTAATTTGAAATTCACCATTCTGCAATGTAGTTCAATTCAGAATCCCAGCAGGTCTCTTCGGTTGGCAGACCATTATCCATTAAACCTCTTGGCAAATCGGATCTTGGATTAATACACGAAATCGAGTTCCGAGTTGGAACTAATCTGCTTGGGGCTGCTTTAAAGCTTTAATTTTGGGGTCCAGAATAAAATTTCCGATAGGGTGATTTCCCCCACACATACCTTCGTAAGAGTGTGCGTTTGTGTATATAATCACACACACACACGGGCTCTTGACGCATACGCACATTTAATGCAAATTTAAGCAGTTAGCAAGCAAGTAAAACCGTTATGTGTACACAGGGATATGAAGCTGCGCCTATGTGTGTTTGTATATAAATGCAAGTGTTTGTAAATGCATCGATGCTTATACATAATGCAGGCAATATAAATAATTGCAGTACATAGGCAGGCGAGTGTGTGTGCGTTGCATAACCGCATATGCTATATACGCAAATATCTGGTAGTGTGTACATACATATGTACGTATATATCGGCATCTGCATCTCTGGCAGGCTGCACATTTCATTGCAATTGCATTAGTGCCGGGCCCTTTGTTCATTACAAAATGCAGACACACACACACGGGCCCAAATAAAATAAATTTCCCACAAAACATTTACGCATTTGCCGAGAAAGATAAACAGCAACGGCAAACTCTCCAGTGCAATCAATAAAATATCTGGCATTTGTTGGATTTTTATACATATTTAATTTATTTTCTCTTCTTTCGCGTCGCCAACGTCATCGTTCAAAATTTTTTAATGGGGTTTCGCCTCCTAAAACAAAAATATCAATCGTCGAAAAACTTAGATCTAGGAAAAACTCACAATCGAAACTCTGGGGGTTTTCAGAATCAACATAGTTAATAATATAGCTTGAAAATGGAATTAAGGCATTCAGTATATTGCAGATCAACAAAATCGAATCGGGCTCATTTAACTAATCCAAAAAACAGAGAATAGGAGAAGTCCTGACTTAACATAACATTGTACATATTTATTTAGTTTTAATTTATTTAATTTAATCCTCGCTTTTTTCGCTTATCGCTGCTTAAATAAAATTACGTAATTGTTGTTTTAGCATTAATTTTCGGTTGCTTGTTTATGTTTCCTTTTTTATACAATACATTTTATATCACAATAGAAAAAAGAATTAATTCGCATATTCTTTTCAATCGTTATCTTCTCTTTTTGTTTGCTTACTTATAAATTAAACAATAAAAAATTTACAGAATTTTCTTTAACGTTTGTGTGTGTTTGTTTGTGTGTGTATGTGTTTGGGTGAGTTTTTTGCTATTAAACAAGGTTGTTGTTTTTTTTATGTTTTTATAACTTGTGTTTATGGTTATTCTCCCCTCTTTTTCGTTATTTGACTAATTGTGGCTTGACAAATGTTAAGAACTAAGAATTAAGTTTACGCATTTTCATTAAGTGTCTACTATTAACATTGTTTTTGCTTAAGTTTTCGTTACTCTTTTGTTTACGTTTTAATCAACTAAATTAAACGGCATAACTAACGACGCTGTACTAAACAAATTCGCAACGAACGACGAGAAGAAAACGCCGAGGCACAAAAACAAAAAAGATACAAACACAAAAGGGGAGCAAGAAAAATGCGATGGAGAGTGAGAAAGAGAGGAGAGTCAAGTTTTAATTCCCCATACTCCCTCTCTTTTTTGCTTTGTTGTTTTTTTATCGCTCTTATGCTGATGTTGTAGTTGTTGTTGCTGTGGCAATGGAGGACGCTGGCTTTTGTAGCCGAAGCGTGAATTAAAATAAACTATTTAAATTTATTTGCATCTGCTTAACTGCGGCCTGCATTGCACACACACACATGCGTTGTGTGTGTGAATGTGCTGCCCACTCTCCTGCTCTCCCCCCTCCCACTGCTTATCGCGCGTCTCCATCGCCATGCACTTTGTTGCTGTCGGCCATAGCTGCATTTGTTGTTGCCTGCTGTTTCTTTTTTCTCTTTTTTTATCGCTGCGTGCGTGTAAGCCGACGCCAGCGGCTGTATTCCCTCTCGCTCTTCCCCCCTAGGAACAACAACACAACACAACGCAGCAAAGCGAGCTCCATGAACTGTGTTGCCTGGACCTCAGCGGGAATATAGCTACTTCTAGCGGAAAGGCGATCTAACTGAAGTTCGTCTAAAAATTACATACTATAAACTAGTTTTTAATAATGAGATGTAAGTACAGTCATTTTTATGAAAAGTAATACAAATTGTTCGGTATTACATTTCAAAACATTTGTTGGCAATTCATAACAAAATTTTTTTATCTTCTTTTCTTCATTAAAGCCCCTACAAGAGCTGAATTTTCAAGGTTTTTTTTTTGTGAGTTTTGAAGTCTATGCGAGCGCTAAGAAAAAATTGCTTGTATATTTGAAAACGACGACATTTAAAAAAAATGTAAAATGTTTGTTCAACACCTTATACCGATGTTTACAGTATCTGAATAAAAAATGGTCAAACAAAATTCAGGTCGTGTAAGAAGATCTTGACATAATTATTGGCTTCAATAAGTAATCATGTTATTTGTTTCCAATAATGCATTTTAAGCAAATTAGGATAAGTTAAGAAAAAAAAAGTAAAACAATATTGAAAGTTCATTTTGCTTACATCTGATCAAAAAACTACATCTGAGTATTTAATATAAAAACAAAAACCGATGCCAAGCAAGCTGAGCTGGCAGCACTCTCTCCCTGACGCCGTCTGTCCCTGTCCCCCTTTCCCCAACTCCTCCCGCTCGCCTTGCTTTTTCTTGCGTGTGTGTTTGTGTGTGCCTCATTGTTTGCCGTGTTGTTTTGTGCCCCTCAGCTCGTTTCTCGAATCGTACGAAAAAAAATGTAGTACAGCGTGTGGTATGGCAAACGAAAGCTATGAGTTCTCAGTGTATCTTGTCTGCTCCGCCTGCCCTCTCTTTCCCGCCCGGAATCTATGGTTGGGAATTACTAGAGCCGCGAGCGGCCTCCTCCGCCGCACAGGCGTTGCAATCGTGGTGGACGCATCACCTGACCAGCCAGAGGCCCAAATTGAGCTTCTGCAGCTTGGGCAGCTTCATGATGATGTCGATGCCCTTGGAACTAAGTTGCGTGCAGCCGTAGAGATCGATGGTCTTGAGATTGGTCAGATCTTCGGCCAGCGTCTGGAGGCCCTTGTCCGTAATCCGGCTGCACTGTCCGATATTAAGGTTCTCCAACTCATGCAGCGTCTTTGCGATTTTCAGCATTCCGTGATCGGTGATCTGGCACTGATTAAGGGACAGAGATCTTAATCGGTAGAGTCCTTGGGCTATGTGCGTCAGTGCCTGATCGCTGATCTTGTCGCAGAAACTAACGTCCAGCGAGTTGATCCCGCTGCCACCCTCTGTGAGGTACGCCATTCCGATATCTGAGATGTTATCGCAGGAGCGGAGGTTCAGTTGCTCCAGCTTGGGCATCCGGGCGAGGTGTTTCAGCCCACTGTCCGTCACGGAGACGCAGAAGCTCAGGTTGATCGATTTCAGTGAGGTCAGTCCCTGGGCAATGTGACCGAGGGCCTCGTCACTCAGCCGCTGGCAGTCCTGCAGGCCCAGATACTCCAGTTGCAGATTGCCCTCGGCCGTTTCCCGCGAGAAACCCGCCAGGTGACCTATGCCCTGGTCACTGATGTGCCAGCAGGATCGCAGATTGAGGTGCTTCAGCTTCTTCAGGCCCCACGCTATGAGCAGGAGTCCTGTGTTGGTGATGTTGCAACAGCCTCCCAGTTCCAGAGTCTCGAGGTTCCGCAGATGCTGGGCAATCCGCCCCAGACTTGTGTCCGTGATCTGTTTGCAAAGGGAGAGGTCCAGGGTCTTGAGGTTGGGCAGATCCACACTGAAGGCATGGCCCAAATTCATGTCGGCCACGTTAAAGCAACCGCTCAGGTTCAGCGAGGTCAGAGCTGGAACACCCAAGACCAAATCCTTGAGCGAGCGGCGCAGCGAGAGGATCTGCACCTTCTTGATGCCCCTCTTGACCAGGCAGTTGAATAGACTCGGACTGGAGCGTTTAAGGTGCAGCTTGGCCTCGACGCCCTTCCAAACACTCTTGGCATAGGCCGCATCCCGCCAGGCGGTGCAGACCTGGGCCGCCCGCCCCAAATCCCTCACTGGTAGGTGTTCGAAGATCTGCTCGAGAAGTTCCGGGAACAGATTGCTGATGTGGGTTCCCTCCACCGGCGGCGGACTCTCCGGCGAGGCGGGCCTGTGCGGTAGGTGGTGGTGGTGATGATGGTGGTGCTGTGCGTGGGCAGCTGCCGCTGCTGCCGCCGCCGCCGCTGCTGCGGCATGCTGCAAATACAAGGCCGGAGGCAGGGTCTGGAGTTGGTGGTGCGGCGGTCGGTGGTGCAGGGCGTAGGGCGTGAAGCGCAGCAGGTGGTGGTGCGTGGTGGTGGCCCCGGTTCGCGTCAGTCCGGGCAGCTCAGTCTGTTGGTAGAGTTCATCCATCCCCCAGGTGGGCGCTCCGCCAACCGCTGCCGCTCCTCCTCCACTGGTGGCCGCTCCATTGCTGCCGGATCCGCCACAGTGGCTATTCAGATTGTTCAACACCGCCATTGTCTGGTGGTGGAAAGGCAGCAACTCCGTGTTGGTAGCCATGTCCTCCTCTTGGTTTTACACTTGGCTTATCTATTGGCTGCTACTTTGGATCTAATCGTTCGATGGTGTTCCTATATACGCTTCATTTTACTGTTTGTATGCTTAGTTGAAGACTAGTGGTGTTCACTGTGGTTCACTCGCGCTGCACTTTAACTCGAGAGCACTGTGTCGGGTGGTTAGTGACAGTTCCAAGTCCCAGTCCCAGTAGGTCTCTTTATTTATTCTGTGTTCTTGCGGTGCGGCCGAGACAGAAACGATGTGCGCGAACCGGACGACGACGAAAAACTCAACTCGAAACGCCGAGTCGCCTTGCTTTTAGCCTGAGTCGAGTCGCACGGAAACGCGGAGAGCGCGAGGGAGGATTATCTGAGCGTATTCAGCCATAAGGTTTGTTCGGAGCAGGTAGCAAAGTGCGCTTTCTCTCGTTTACGCTCTTGTTTGTGCTCTCACTCTCTCTCTCTCTCTCTTCTCGCCTCTGGCTGAATGCTGAGTCAACGGCGGTTTAAAGCTAAATCTGTAGTGAATTTTTGGTAAAATCCTTTATTAGTTTTAAATTTAATTTATCTGAAAACCGCGAAAAGTAAAATAAATATATCTCAGTTTTATTGTTCAACGTTTAAACGTTGCACTGTTGTGTTTAAACTTTAATTTTCATTGCAGATAAAATAATGCTTCTTATGAAGGAGAGGATCCATATGATTGAAGGGTACCTTCCATGTTAGATGTTTTTAAAGCCTCCATGCTCAGTGGTTTATTTGTTATTGCAAATACCCACTGCCTTCTTTGCGGAAACCTTTTTTCTATTCAGCACTCACTCGCTTCTCGTATCTCGACATGTTTTCTTTTTGTTATAGTAAAAGCTAACTTCCATCATTTATAAACTGTTTTAAGTTTAGTCAGCTCATCACTGACTGAGAACTGGCTGTTAGACTACGAGAGAAAGAGCGTAAGACGATAAGAGTGAGAGAGTGCTACTAATATTAATGCTGCTTATAAGACCTGGCTTGGGTTTATCTTTTGGTTTTGGACCCCAGCTCCGCTCCATGTTTCAGGTTATTCTTTACCCGCCGAACCAAACTCAATGCCAAACTCCGACGCATTTGTTGTTTCTGCTGCCGCTGCATTCCGAAGTCGAGCAGGTACCTGTCTTCTCTCTCCTTATCTTCCCTCCCTCTCTGTCGCATCTGTGTGAGTGCGATCGCTGCTCGCTACCTGCGAACGCAACAACAACACAATCCCGGTTTCCAGGAAAATATTAACGATAACTCCAAAAAGAAGAAAAATACATTGCCGCACACAGAAACAGATTGGGATGCACAAATCCAACGGATGGCACAACAATAGCGAACTGGCATTGTTATTGATACTAGGAAAGCCGTGCACTCTCTCTTGTGCATTTGCCCCTAAAAAAGGAAAACGCCGTCGTCTTTGCCTTCTAAAAAAATAAAAGAAAAGGGACAGGGACCAGGACCGAAATCGAGAAAAGGGCCTAGGACCTGGGAAAATCTGAGTTGCTACCTGACCCGATCGCTCACACCCGCACCCTCAAACGCATAGGCACTGATATCAGCATCCTGTAGTTGAAGAGAGATTGCTACACTGAAGAATAGTTCGCTAAATACAGAATAAGTCAATTATTTAAATACACTTTTAGGATGTGTCCAAAACGAACTCTCCTATTACAAATATTTAAAACACGCTATCTCTATTTGTATACAGCATGTTGATATTGATTATTCTTTATACGGTTAAAAACGTTTTATACTAAATACGTTTTATTTTTAAGAGTATCTTTTATTGGACATCTTATCAACATTTTTGTAATCTTATATAATCTTATGAATCCTTAGCCCGCTTTCGATTATTCAACTAATATTTTTAAGAACGTCATAATGCAAGAAATGACATTTCATACATATACAAATATAATAATATATATAATATAATATAATATTAAATGGCATTTCTTCCATCTCTTGTATTCCTTCTACAAAGTATATGACTTTACATTTATGGTTTCAGAAAATTAGAGCATTTAAAAGTGGTTAGAGGTACATGAAAACTTAGTGTGTGTGTCTTTTCAAACCATGTTTGAATTCAATAGTTTGTATTATGTAGGTTACAATATTTCCTGAATTGTAATGAAATTCTACAAATTTTTTCTCAGTGCTTGGAAGTGAGCCTACGTAGATTTCTTGGGCCTCCTGCCGAGGACTCTCGCAGTCGTACAGTCATTATCCTGGCGGGCAGAAGGGCAAGGCGTGCGTCCCTCCAACCTTCCAGCCCTCTCCCTCGTCATCCCTCGACCACCGCATCTTGTGCTTCTTCTACCTGTTAAACCGGTCCGGCCAAAAAGGGCCAATCTCTCCCTCTATCAGTCTTTTGGACGTGTCAAGGCGGCCATCGAAAATAAAAATAATCTCTTCACTGGAACTCTGCATCGGCCACAGTCCTCCGTCTCCGACTCTGAAATATAGTGCGGCACATATAATAATCGATTGGTTTTCGGCTGGCTCTCCCTCGTCATCGTCGGATCTTCTTCTGGTTTTTTTTGCGCGTTGCGTACTATGATCACGATCATTAAAGCTGCCGCTGGTAGAGGCACACAGGTAGAAGCAAGCGGAAAAGGTGCAACACGCAGACGCAGTGCAAACGGGCCAAATGCAATCCCCGTGGGCAGATGAGGCAGAGGCAATCGAGGCGGAGGGAGAAGGCCCACGCAGACAGTTCAATGTTTGGGCCAGCCCAGCGGATTCAATCGGCATAGCTACTTGTCTTATCTGCAGTCTGGAGATACAAGATACCAGCTATATCTGCATATGCATATCCACGAATGGGCACATCTGCCAATTGATGTCTTAACTCCACCTTTTCCCTAAATAATTGATTAGTTCACTGCAGTAAAGGCAAGATCAAATGAAGCATTACAGCAGTCACACGAGATAAGCAAATTATGTTGATGATGACTACAGGTTACTACTTTCTTTGCATGCCGAAAAAAGGGCAATATATATAAAAATACTAATTTCTTAAAGTTGATACTCTTTTGAAATCAACAATGTAGTCTATTGGGTATAATGTCATTTAACTTTTAACCATTTCCAAAATGTTAATATATGTATAGTAATGTTAATATGTATGGAATTTTAAGCTATTAACTTAAACTTAGATTCTCTTTCAATAAATATTATATATAAAAAGTGGATTGAAAAATTGAGTTCTTTTGTTAAACTCAACAATTTTTTAAGTCAAAAATGTGAACCCAGTTACAAGTACACTTATGCGTCTTCATGTCAAATTCCCTATTTCCTTTATTTTAAGTTTTAAAAATCTCGGCGTTGTTCATGGGTAGATACTTTTCTGTATTTATATTTTCTAGTTAAGCCAGAACGAAACTAAAAACTCATATGGAACGGTCCTGTTTGTCTCAACTTCATGTTAAGCCAGCAAAGATAAGGACCATATAATGATCAAGATCTCAAAGTATTCCTAGAGCATTTAGTTTAACCACCAAGATGCGGATTCAGATCCATCCGGATTGAGTCAGTTGTGAGTGCGCCAAGGGAGGGAATAACCATACAAAAAGCGCCGCCATCAAGTCCAATTGATGTTATCGCCAACTCTGACCTATTTGTGGTCTGCCCGCATCTCTTCCAGCTCACATCTCTCCTTCGTTCTGACCTCTTGAATAACCAAAGGGTGTGATCCAGTAGATGGAAGCTGGCGGTGGGATTTTGGACACCGCCATCAGAAACGACGTCAAGCTGTGACAGATTGCTTTTGGTACATCACATAATTTGCCTTTGATCGCACATCGAGCATATGTCATTTTTGGAATCCAACTCAATTAAATGGTTGGTATGTTATCTGAGAAATTAGCTTCCTTTTAATACTTAGCCATATATTAGTCTTCCCTTAAATGCAAAATATAAAACCCACAAATTTTCAATTCTTACACCAACATTCTAATCTAGGATCTTAAAACCATCATTTCAAGTCCCCATTTTGACGAAACCAGCTAAGATTTTCAGATCCCAGGGCGTGTCCTCTGTCTTCAAGTGGATTCATATGAGAAGAGGACACAAAAATTTATTGTGTCCTGTTGGGAATTAACACTTGTCCAGCTCTCGGAACGACATCCACTTCCACATGAACAAGAGCCGCAGAACTCTGTAAACTGAAACCGGATTGAGAGGTCATGGAATACTCTCAAGGGTTGTCTCAAGTGTAAAGTTCCGCTGCAGCTCAAGGAGATTTCTGGCGAAGTATGTAGATATCCGCAAAGCGATCGAGGACCGTTATAAGAAAGGAATCGGTCAAATAACAAATGAAGTGTTACCAGGAATTGCAAGTAGAAGTGACTGAAATACTTAGTACAAGAGTGTTCAAATGAGTTATTCCCATTTTAGAACTTCATCTGAAAACAGTAATAAAATCTTACAAAAAACATTCATTACCTTAAGGACCCTTAAAGATTAAAACACCCAAGAAGTATTTCAAATTGAACGACTTGATTTATCCACATATATGTAAAATGTTCCTTTATTGTTTATGTAATTTTAAATGCTATATGTATATATCTAGATATAGTATTTATATCGTAAGTAAATGTCAGTTATTATTTTTGCTTCTGAAAAAGTTCGTTTATGGCATTACGCACTAAAAATTAAATGTTTACTTCGATTTTGGGGTTCTGTTCGTTCTTAAAATTCGTTTACGCTATGACTTTAAAATACTCCCGTTACACAACTCTAGAAACTAGATGCTAATTATTAAAACCCAGACCCAACTATGCTTTTTCTATATGTATATGGCTACGGAAGGGCAGTTCAACTCAAGCAAGTTGGATTCGATATTAGGATTAGGAGTATGTTGTATATATATAATATATATATGTACATGCCGGGCCGATCTGGGCGGGCTAGCAAGGAAGTGGATTTGTGTGAGTGTATGCTAAAGCATATTTTGATTTGATTTGATACATGCGCGGTTCTAGGTGCTATATGATCTCTATATAGGTAAATGTAATGCATATGTGTTTAGTATTGTTTAAACGATTCGTTGACTCTAGTCCACATGGATATTTCGTATATCCACAGCTATCAACTCGGCCCGAAACACTTCTTCCTACCCCACCTTTACCGATTCAACTCACGATCTGGTGGTTTGTAGAAAAGTGTTTGGGCCTCCTCGGCTAGCCGAACTCTCTGAGCGTTTCTCTCCTCCTCTTCGATTCGATTTGATTTGATGATATATTCATTTTGCATTCTAATGTGGTACGTGCCTAAGTTCTAAATTATGCTATATACGCTCCCAAAAAAACCTTTTCTGCGTGGGGACTTACAACAAACATTCCTCGTTGTTCGAACAGAATGAACAAAAAACGCGACTCAAAATCAGAAAACCATAAATATAAAAAATTATTAAAATACTATAATGTATAATGGGGTTATATCACAGGTACATTTTAGACTTTTTTCAAAATGCAAGATTGTAGAAAACATTGTGTCATGGAGGGATCTGCACAGGGACAGGACAACGGAACGGACAACTGGGGTTTGTTCTGTTGGCCGTGTGCAGCTCCTCAACTCGTCTAAATGCTATGTAAGTAGTTGTGTAGTGTGTGTCGTTTAGTATGTATACATATATATTCACTGGATCAATGAATTATATTATTTCTTGTTATAGAAAAGCACTAACCATTAAACATTGCAACTGCCGTTTCACTTGTCCTCCAAACTCAACTCCACTGCCCACAAGTCCGAGTCGGAGACAAATGCTCGATTGTGATCGTAGATATGAAAGAGTTTTGCATACAAGTATATCGTAATCAGTATTGTTATTGTATCGCTATCAAGCCTATGACTAGGACCGATTCGAAAGCCCCAAAACATGCTGTACAAATGTGTGTACTTTGGTTCTAACTACATACGTCGTCAGTCACCTTTTGTGTGTACTTGCTATGGCCTGATCTGGTTTATCTTTTTCTATAAGTTCCTTTGAGTACGTATTTTAATGAAGTTCTGCTGGGACACAGATCCCTGCTATTTAGTAATTACTGTCTCCTCGCGTTAATGAAGCAATATCTATCGTACAGCACTCGCCTCTCTTAAGTACAAAGTATTTCGTTTTCCATTGGGGGAACATTTTTGTGGTGCGTGGATGGGGGAGCACTGTGCCTGTCTATGAGTCTCTACGCTGGTAGATGTGATAATGGAAAATTCGTAATTGCTAAAGCTGCACAATGCCCCCATGATTGCGACAAGTGTGGTTTTGTGTATCTGAGTGTTATACCCAAGAATCCACTACAACATGTTCACTCATTTTGTGTCTGCATCTGTTTTTACTTCTGAATTTTTGAAATACAATTTAAATAGTAGGGCAAGTTTGTTGTTGATAAAAGTGCTTAACCGCCAAGAGGAACATGTTGTAGTGGACACAAGGCATCAGTCATTCGAATTCGATAGTTGATGCATAAACTTAGAGTTGACCCAGTCACCAGACTGATTCCAAGTTCGATATGAATGAAGGGTTAGACTAGATGCTATTTTTAATACTAATCCACCCATTTGGGAAGGTCCAATGACTTCTTCCTTAGGTGTTCCTAGCAGTCATTTGACGGGGCGCCGGTTCACCCGCCTCAGCGTACAGACAGGATCCCTCGCTGCAGGAGCAAGTGTCGCCCTCGCGGGAACTATTGCAGCAGTCACTGGTGTACTGGCGCTGCTCGTACTCCGCCAGCATATTCTCATTCTCGCTCTCCAGGCACGGCTGCACCACCGGTGGTCGTCGGCGGTGGTGTCCACCGCGCTGTTTGCCGCTGCTGCTGTTTCCGTGATCGTCCAGCTGCAGCTGCCGCTTGTGGCCCTGCGAGGTCCTCGAGTGATCCGAGCACTCGGAGGAGCACTGGTAGATCTGATGGCTGGAGGTGGTCGGGTGCATCGGGTGGTTGTTGGGATGCACCGGTTGGTACCAGCCCTCGGGAACGGGAACTGGTGGTGGGGGTTGCATGGGAGATGGCGTGGCCAAGGCATCGCAGCTGTTGCAGGCGCGGCTCTGGGCACATCGCGCCGCATTCAATCCAGCCTGGTACTCACTGGACGCATGACGCTGGGTGGCAAATGGCAGTTGGTTAGGTGGTACTCCCCCTGGAGACGCGGTGGCGAAGTATGGATGACTGGTGGGCGTAATCTGGTAGCGGTTCTGGGTGCCGCCGGCCACCGCCGACAGCGGATTGCTGTACACGTTTTCCGGAGGACAGGCGACGGCGTATTGCGGCGATACGCCCCAGGCCGAAAAGCCGCCCGAGGAACTACTGTGTATGGAGGCGTTCAAAATGCTGTAATGAAATGGAATTGTTAGTCAAATTTGTTGCTTATGTAATAGATCTGAACACCAAAATTAACTTATTCTTCATATTATGCTAACATTGGTTGGATCGTTCCAAACTCTCATAACTTCGTTGTATGAAAACACAATATACATATACACATTTAAATTTCGGACAATTAATTTGCATTTCTCCTTTGCATATTATTATAATAATTGCAATAAATATTATGGTAGTATTATGTTGTTCGGAAAGTTTTTGTAAGTTTATAAAACCGGGACAGCCACAGTTGTTATTTAAATGACATAGTTAAATATATTATTATATTCTGCCGAAGTTAAATTCCTTTCTGAAAAGCTTAATTTTCTTAATTTACTTTACAAATAATTCAAAACAATAATTGGTTACTAAAATACCGCTAAATTCATACTCTGAACTAAAACAAATATTTCTGGTATAAAAAATGGACTCTAACCTTTGGTTTGTGGAAATGCCTGAACCAGCGCTTTTGGAGCTCTTCCTCGAAGATTCCGGGGACCCCTGTGCATATCCGTAGGTTGAAGACGGTGGTGGATGTTCTGGCGGCGGTGGTAGGAACTCAGACCAATTGATTGGCTCAACCGGATATTGTAGATAATTGGATTTCACAACAGGAACAACTGGTGCTTGGCCAGCAAATGCATCCGAATAGGGCGAATGAGTTCCCGAATCCTTGTCGGCACTCAAAGATGTTGCCTTGGTGCAGGTCTCACTAGAGGAGGTTCCAATGATCATAGTAGTGGCATAAGGAGTGGGGTTATCAGGACTCTGCAAGAATGTTTTGGGTTAACAAATGTACCATAATGGAAATTGCACTTTGTCTCACCTTGCGACAATTGTAGAAGGTGGTCAGGTTACGGGTGTCTACTTCGGCGTAGTCGGTTCCGCCATCAGAGTTATTGTAGTTCGACTGACTGCTGTTTACGTGGGACAATAGTTTTGATTCGCTCAAGCCCGAATCCTTGTCAGTATCTGCAGTTCGCCAGCCACGGTTGTGGTCTATCCACAGGCTTTCCTTGCTATTGATGTTCAGTGCTGTAATTTCGTTGTCACTGACCACTAGAAAAAAATGATTATATAGGATAGAAAGTGATTAGAATGCTAACTATACATGGACTACTGAGAATGAAAATGATACATTTATAAAGAAAAGCTATTACAACTTTTTTAAAGGGATGATAAGATTTTTGGATTTTTTAAATAATTCATATTCATTTACCAGAGGCGTTCGAAGATGAACACTTACCACTTAAGTGACCCAGCTCCTTGGTCATTTGATGCTTCCTCTTAAAGTATACCATGGAAATAGCTGCCGAAATTACAAGGACTAGGAGGATAATGCAGACCAACACCATAAGCCAGGGGCCAGATAAATAGTCAGTCGTCTTTCTATGAGTGGTGGGATTGATGTCGCCGGTGGGTAAATTTCCATTGCTATGGTAGGTCAGATCTTGACCCTCATGTCGGCCATCATGAGTGCCACTAGGATGGGCCCGTGGCGGATGAACATGATGAGTCGGGTCCATGAAGAGTGATATCTGTGGGATTGAAGTGGGATTTATAAAGTGCCAAAAGCCAAAAATAGTCCTTTAACTCACCGGTTTGGAGTAGGGTCCATCTCCTGCCTTGGTAAAAGAGTTCAATCGCACACTGTACACAGCTCCAGTGGTTAGGTTGTTCAGAAGCACAGAAGTGGTGGTGGCGTTGAGGGTCATATTGGCAAGAACCTTCATGGTGTTTCCGGCACTGACCTCAATCTTGTATCCATACAGATTGCCGTTGTGATGTTGGGCGGGTGGCGGAGTCCAACGGACCCATCCGGCGGTTTGGTTGTACATGCCGATCTGTATGTTGTCCGGTGGTGCAGAAGGAACTAGAAATTAGAAAACATAAAAGTATGTAATCTGTATATGTCTGTAAGTTTCGTTGATTTTACCATCTTCATAAGTAAGGGCTATTTTTGAGTTACTGGGCTGCCCTTCAATGGTCTCAAAGAAAGGTGTTAGGAAGAACTCATATTTGGTATACTTTTTGAGGTTTCCTACTACAAACGAATCCGCAGAAATATCCATAATCGTTATCGAGTGATACTGTGCTGATGGCAAGCTTGCATCTTTGTAGTGTATTCGAAGGCCCTAAAAAGTAAGGTAAATGAATAACATTAAGGTTGGGCTTGCAAAGTATATAAATTATTGAGCTTACCTCTACATATTTTTCATCAGCGCTCACGTGCAGCATCCAATCCAAACGAACGGCACTGGCATTTATAGCCGATACATCTATCAGCTCTACGGACTGTTAAAAAAATAATCCAGTTAGATTTATTCTCGTTAAGTCAATATATTAGCTTACCTTTCCAGTAAGTAAAGTTCTAGCTGCTGACAAATCATTTGCAGAAGCAGCATCGAAATCCTCCTCAATGGTTTTAATGGCATTAGATAAACCCGAGGGTGCAGATATGCCCTGAGTATTTTCAGCTCTAACTAGGAATACATATGAAGTGCCAGGACTGAGATTAGAGATCTGTAACAAATGCAAAAAAATAAGTTAGCCAACAGGAAGTCTGCTTTTTAATAGCTTGTCTTACAGTGACTTGGGTGTCGCCCACTCGTTGGGCTGCCACAGTCCAACCAGTTTGCACATCTGGACTAAAGTACTCCACGGTGTAGCTGAAAAAAAAATCAAATTTAATGATGATCTCATTTAATGGGTGTGCCGCTTCAACTCACCCAATGATCGGTCCCACAGCGCCAGTTTTTTCTTGGCTTTTGGCCCATCGAAGACTGATGCTGGTGCGGCTGACATTCAGGACTTTGGGTGTGCCAGGCGGAGCAGGATAAGTGCTAGCATCTGCTGCCCGATGAAGAGATGTAGAGCCAGCTTTGTCGACCTGAAAGACCAAACATTTATTTTGGATTAGGAGGTTTTTATCTATGGGAATTAATATGAAACGTACTGTCAAAGTGGCTGCCCAGGAAGTCTCTCCTCGTTCCCCAGATGCAGTGCAAGTGTAGGTTCCGGAGTCACTAATTTGAAGATCTAAAAGAAGAGTCAAATTAGAAAACATGGAAACTTACAACTTTAACCACATCTTACCATCCACTCTCAGAGAGCTGCCCTGGATAATACTGTATCGGTTGCCAGTTTGTACGGCATGTCCATTATGGAACCATTTGATACGGGGACTGGGATTTCCAGTGGCACGACACGGTAAAGTGGCCACCGATCCTTTAGGGAGTGTCTGGTTGGCAGGTCCTATTTGGATAATAGGAGGAGGGCGCTCGTCCACCGAGCTGACCTGCAGGAAAACCCGTATCGTGGAGGAATCTACGACGCTGAAAGCGGAGCACACATAGAAGCCTTCATCCTCCTGCCGCACATCCGTGATCTGAAGTGTTCCATCGGCAGCCACATGCTGCCTTCCGTGGGAGCTGTTTGGAAACATGAGCGTCGATACTCCTTCCTTGGTCCAGAAAACAGAGGGTGCTGGATTTCCGGAAGCCATGCAAGGCAACTGGACGACGCCATTCAGTCCGACTTTCTTGTTGCTCGGTCGCTTGGTAAAGCTGGGTGGAGCTTTAATAGAAGAATATAGGGATTACAATGTGACACTTTTAGAACTGGTATAAATCCTACCATGCACTGTGAGCGAAGCTCTGGCGCTGATCTGACCCACATTGTTTTGTGCCTCACAGACGTAGATGCCCTCGTCGGTGGGTGTGATGCTGGAGATTTCCAAACTCTTCCCATCGTGTAGGATTCGAGCCCTGGATACCGGAATATTGCCCTCCTCCTTTTTCCATAGCACTTTTGGGGGTGGATCCCCGCCTACGGAGCAGTGGAAAGTGGCAGTCTGTCCGTAGAGCATCACCTGGTCTTTGGGCTCCTTCATAAAGTAGGGTTTGACCTGGACAATCAGCTTGGCATAACTGGACTCGCGAGTGCCCACCAGATTCTGGGCAATGCACTTGTAGTTGCCTTCGTCAATGGGCTCCACATTGCTGATGAGCAGGTTGCCACCATCCACGATTCGCACGCGTGAGCTGGCGCCAAAAGACATGGCTTTCAGGTCGTCCAAGGGAACGCCATCCTAAGAGCACAAAAAGCGGGTTAGCCAGTGAAATTCGACTGATTTTTGAGACTAGTTTTGTGAACCCACCTTTATCCAAATGAGCGTTGGCTCTGGAATGCCTTTGGGCGGCCCACACTCCAGCAGAGCCGTCTCGCCTTTGGCCACTCGCGTGTCTTTGGGCTCCACGCGAAAATCGTCGCGCAAAACTGGCAAAATAAAAAAAAACATAATAATCAGAGACAAAGCTTGGCGTGTGGGCAGACACGTTGCAGACCGCAGTGGCGGACTAACTTACCAGCAATCTGGAGCGAGGCATGGCGACTAACGGCCTGGCCCACTCGGTTCTTGGCCACGCACCAGTACTCCCCGCCGTCCTGCTCCTTCTTGCCCTGCATCGTCCTGTAGAAGAATAGGGCGCCGTCCTTGAACTGGACGCGGTGCGATTTCTTTTCGTTGGTGCTGACGGGTTCGCCATCCTAAAAATGGGAGGGGAAAAGTGGCAAATTGAGTTACGATTTGGTAAGGTTTTGGCTGCATCACTGAAAAAAACTAATCAACTTTGACTAACATATTAATAAAATAAATCGAACTGACCATGTTAAAAAGTTGTAATATGTACGTGTAAAAATTAAGTCATTTGAAAACGGTTAGAATTCAAATTTAAAATAGCACTAAAAATTATTTTGATGAACATTTTACAAACAAATTATTTTAAATCTCAAGATGTTATAGCTAAAAGCTTTGTTTTTTAACTAAATAAAAAAATTAATTTTAAAAACATATTAGTTACTAATTCATTTTATGACCAAATTTTCGAACGGGTAATAACATGTATGTATAATTTCTAATATTTTTTTTTAAACCAAAGAAGGTAACATATTAGCTTTGTTTTCACAATTTTATCGAGAGGTAAATTTCAATTTATTAATACCTACAGCAAAACTTATCTAGTTAGACGTCGCTATATGACAAACAGCAAATAACTATATATACTTATGATAAGCATTTTAATTCAAGATGATATTGATTAAACTATAAATAATAAAGATATTCATTGATCAGAGGTGATTCCGTGTCTGCCTATAGACCGTTTTATTTTTGCAAATTTAGAATATTTCAATATGACGACAAGCTTGCTTAAGCTTTTTATACCCGTTACTCGTAGAGTAAAAGGGTATATTGTATTCGTGCAAAAGTATGTAACAGCTAGAAGGAAGCGTTTCCGACCCTATAAAGTATATATATTCTTGTTCAGGATCACTAGCCGAGTCGATCTAGCCATGTCCGTCTGTCCGTCTGTCCGTCTGTCCGTCTGTCCGTCTGTCCGTCTGTCTGTCCGTCTGTCTGTCTGTCTGTCCGTATGAACGCTGAGATCTCGGAAACTATAAAAGCTAGAAGATTGGCATTTTGCATGTAGATTTTAGGAGTTCCTACGCAGCGCAAGTTTGTTTCAAAAAGGTGCCACGCCCCCTTTAACGCCCACAATCGCTTATATACGATTTTAAAAATTTAAATATTTCGGAAAAGTAAAAATTCAGTTTTATTGTGTTTATCAATACCTATCGAAATGTTGAAGAAATTTTTCAAATCGGACCATTCGTTAAAAAGTTATGCGTGATCAAAGTTTCTATCTCCATCTCCCTTGCACTCCCTTTACCTGTGTAACGGGTATCTGATAGTCGGGGCACCCGACTATAGCGTTCTCTCTTGTTTTAGTTACCGTTTCTGCCAACTTGAGGTATGCTACGGAAATTGTTAGTATCTATTTGACCTGTACATTGTGATTCGAATTGGACTGATTTGTTTTCTGTGTAAACGAATGGCGTGCGAGAAGTATTATTTTGTGGGTACCTTAAACCACTCGATAGAGGGTTCCGGCTTGCCCTCCACTTTGCAGTTGAGTGTGGCGGGTTCATTCTTCTTGACCACCAGGTCCGTGGGATGCTCGATGATGCGCGGCGATTGGTACTGGCCTGCAATGGGTTAAGTATGCGGGGTGGGGATTAGGATTGGCCAGTTAGCCGGGGCATGGAATCCCCGGATGGGCTTGGAGCATTACCTCTGACAGCTGGCAGGCCACTGCTGGCCACCAGGAGGAGTAGCAGCCACGGCAGGAGCAGCATCCTGCTGCTCCGGCTGCGACAAGGGTTAATAGTGGTGCTCGTGCTCCAGGCGATGGCGTGGTTTTCGGGATACATGGGATGCATATGATGGTGGTGCTGTTGCGATGACTCTACAGATGACCCAAAGTAGCGGCGATCATTGTGGCGTTGGTTGTTTTTTGGTGTTTTTTTTTGTGATCCTAGGATGGGTGATATGGGTTAACAAAATGTGGGCAGCTGTTAGGATGACTGGTTAGGCGTGGCAGCAATATAGCCCCCGGGGACTTTGCGGGTTTACTCGGTTTTTATCTGTCTAAAGTTCCAAATTATTTCTCGCCTGCTCCACTTACGCTTGCATTTCCATGCGATAAGCACTCGCACACTCACACACTCGCACACTCACACCCACATATGTCTATGCTGGTTTTCCATTAATTTTATTTCCGTATTTATCTCTCTTTGTGTTTATCTCCCATTCGAAACGCGACGACCAGCCCCGAAAATTTACAATCCAAATTCTGATTTGGAGTTTGATTTCACGTTCTCACACTTTCTTTATAACGCTTTTTATTTCGCTTTTAGTTTTGGTTTGTTTTATTTTTTTGAGGGGTTTTCGGGTTTTTTATTAATCAGCCGCGCAGTGTAAGTTTTGTTGGTATTTATTCGTCGATTGCTCGCTTTTCGGGGTTGTTTTCTTCTCAGCAGCTCTCGCGCACATTTTCCACATTTCCCGAACGAAATTTCTTTTTGGTAAAATTACAAGAACAAGAACCAACTGCCGCTCCCCCTCTCACTCTCACTCGCACTCACACTCACTCCCTCTCGCTCACACCGCCTGCCGTTCCTGGACCTTCCCCCCCGTTCCGCTTGTTGTTGTATCTATAACAGTGTGTTGTATCTATAACTCCTTGTAATATTTGCGTTACATCCGCAGCTGCACTTCTTAATCCCCGAAAAGCGGGCTCTAATTTGTTCACTAGATGCGCGGTTTAATCACAGGCTCTTGGGGCCTAAACTTACTCCAATTTAGCTGCTGCAAATTAACTATTTTCCTGCGATTTAAGTGATATTCGGAGCGCAGTGAAAACTCACAATTGGACGTGGGTCGTGTCTGTGGAAATCTGAGAGCGCAACGGGCGGAATCGGAATGTAATGGGCCTTGCAGGGCGCAGCGGAACGGAGTGGGAGAGTGGAACGTGTTGGTGGTCCCGATAAGGTATACCGAAAAAATACCAGAAACCATGTACTTTCGCTGATCTGGCAACGCGATACGAAGTAGATGTTTGGTTTTAAAATTGGTTTCGCGGTTTCTATGAAGTTATTGCAATAATTCAATCATTATTCAAGTTTATGGAAAATAAAAATATGAAAATTATTTAACTGCATTTAGAGTTAATCTGAGAAAGTGCGATTAAAAGAATATATATTTTGTTTATTTCATTTTGCCGACGGATTGTAAACAAATCCTTAAATGGGTAATTTTAGATATAATTAAATCTTAACTTTATAGAACAAGTTCTGACATTGTTCAATGCAATCATAGCTTGATCATATGCAATATTGGTTGATTTGTATATGTATTATATTTGTTATAATTTTTTTATGAATTGACGTGTTGGATCTTTTATCGGGGTTTACGAATCCAAAAAATTCTTCACAACATTTGATTGTAAAAGATTTATCGATTCAATTGTAAAACATTCTAGAAACATAATATTTATCCTTACATGTGCCATTAGGTTTTATTTATAGCTGTAGCGGACTCGCATAACTTAATAATAAACATTACACGGTATGGGCTTTCAAAAATATATATGGAGTATTAATAAGTCAAAAGTATTATTATATCAAAAGTGCTCTCAAAACCATAATTTCCTGGTTAATAAAAATCTTCCTTATTAATGTGCTTTTCTTTTTAAATTATATTAAATAAACTTATAACCTTCTTTTTATACCGGGTGTCATTTAATCCATTCTGCCCCTGACCAAAGTCCTGGAGCGTACCACATTGGAGAAGTTGGCATCGAAGGCGGGCACTCGGTTTCGTCCTGGGTGAAAGTGGAAAGTGGGCGGGGTCGGAGCTGCAGGGCGGCGCCCGGTGGGCAGGGCACTTTTCACCTGCTTGGGCTGCAGTTGCAGGCGCGCCACTCGATCCACGGACATGCTTTTGGGCCTCCGGGCCAGATAGTTGTGGACGTGGCTATTGGAGCCGTTGGCGATGTTCAGATTGACCAGATAGTCCTGCAGCTGCGCCTTCAACTGGCTGTTCTCCGCCTCCAGGCGCCGCTTCTGCTGCTTCAGGCAGGCCACGTCCACGGCCACGTTGTTGACCCGCCGCCAGAAGGTCTCCATTTGGGGCACCACGCCGACCTCGTCCTGGGAAGGAACACAAAATGTTAAGGGATAAGATAAACTAAGCAGAAGCAAACATCAAAGATTTATCAGTGTTTTTGCCAGTCGAATAAGTTTAACTTCGTATAATAAAATAACTAAACGTCAGTTTTTTTGTGGCCTTTTTCTTAAGTACTTTCTTAGCTTTTGCCAAGCCTCTGAAGTTTTATGTTCAAGTAGTAAAAAAAAAAAATAATAATTAATAAAATAATTATTCGTCTGTTTTTCAAGGTACACTTTAAGGTTGGAGTTCGATTTATGGCATATGTATATATTAACCAAACCAATCTAAATGACTTATATGTGAGAGTTAAATTATTGTCTCTTAATTGTAAAATGATATATCGATGTCTTACAATAGATAAACAATAAAACAAGCATTAAAACAGGCTAAAAACGAAAGTAAAATTTAACAAAAAATGGAACAATTGAAATTGGCGAATTAATTTGTAACCTGGTGCTGGTAACTTTTTCTCTAACAAACCCATAAGCAAATTTTGACTATACTTTTCACTACAATTTTTTCAGTTCTAAAATTTAAAATAAAATGTATTTTATTAAGTAGATAATAAGAAAAATTCGGTTGAAATTTGTATGTGCATCAAATTTACTGCCCAATTTTTTTTTTGTGCCAGATGTGAATGTCCACCCACCTTAAGGAGATCTGTGGCTGAACCAAAAAAAGCTCCCTGATCCTGATCCTCCACTTCTCGTATCTCGATGATTTCCTTAGATATTTCCGGCAGCTGAAACATCCTCTCCCGCTGGGTTTCCATCTTGGCGCAAACGGCAGATAGTTGGACCAGAGTCTCGCCCTTTCCCACTGTCTCCTGGAGAGACTCCAAGGCATTGTAGCTCTCCACGGACATCAGCTTGAAGGCTTGGTGATCCCGGGAGACCTCCTGCTCCACGCAGGTACGCAGCTCCCTCAGACGTTCGGTCAACTGCTGTTTGATGGCCTGCCGCTGCTCCAGTTGGCCCTGCTGCTTCACGTAGAACTCCTCGGAGACCAGACGCAGGTTGGCCAGCTGGTCCACCAGGTGCTCGATTTCGTGCGTCTGCTGGCTGATCTGCAAGGCGGCCTCCTCATCCCGCTGCTTGAGGTCCACGTATTCCGAGTAGAAACCCTCGATGTGTTGGCAGTAGCCGGCCAGAACAGCTTGATACTCCTGCCACAGCTTCTCCAGACGAGCCTCACCTCTGGAGGTGATCTGCTCCAGCTGGAGTTGCATCTATAAGCCGAGAAACAAATTATTCCTGTGGCGATATAGTTAATTTTAAAGCGACTGGTTTGACTGGCTCTATATCTGCTATTCAAATTTATTTTTAGGAATATGAAAACCAAAATTACTATATTGTAGGAAGTAGTTAAATGACAATAATTGGGTATCATTTAAAAAAGAATTTCAGTCGAATAATACAATTAAAATATGGGTATTCTCTAATTTTCATTTTTTAAGAACTAAATAGTTTTATTAAATTTAAGCTTTTAGAAAAGAGTTAGTTTTAGTTTTTAACGAACCAAATATTTTTATTAAATTTAAACTTTTAGAAAAGAAAACTTGTTTGGAATTCAAAAAGCTTTGTGAATAGATTAACCATTTTGGAATAACCATTTTGTAAAGGGATGTTATAAATTTCTGATATTTATAACATCAGCATTGAACCACTAAGAAAAGGTCAATAAATGACACTTTTAGAAAAGCCGCACGCAATTGTATAATGAGATTGATATGCGACTTGGATCATTGTGTGTCAGTCATTCAGTAATTTGGGACGTCACTCTCCTGAGCTATAAATAATGTCGACCCAACTGCATCTCCATTCAGTTTCCGAGATGCGTCTGCTGATTTTGCTGCTGATTGGACTGGGCTGCTGCTCCTGCTGCACTTCGGCACTCAAGTGTCGATCCCAGGAGGGATTGGCCGAGGCGGAGCTGAAGAGAACCGTGCGGGGGTGCATGCGGCGCCAGGACGACAACGAGGATCGCGGACGAGGAGGGCAGGGCAGGCAGGGAAACGGCCATGGATTCGAGTACGAACGGGATCAGGAGGAGGAGCCGGATCGCGATCCCGATCGAAATATGCGCAACAGGGGCGGCTATGGCAACAGGAGGACGAGGGGTTTCAGGCAGTCGGAGAACAGGAACAACACAGGCGGCGATGGAGGTCAGTGTGTGGCCCAGTGCTTTTTCGAGGAGATGAACATGGTAGGTTGCTACCGGGTGAGGTTTCTAGTTTGTACCCCTTAAGGTTTATAATTACTTTCTCTGGCAAATGGGCTTAAAAAACCATTTCGCCAAAGGATTATTCTCCTTTATGCCTTCTGACTTCTTTTTAATTCTTTAAAAGCTACTTGTATATGCCTAGAACGCACTACTTTTTAAATCGATCGGATTAGTACATTTGGACTTATATAATTTTAAATTTGCGTAATTCTGGTCGTTTAGTTTGAAGCGATTTAGTTCAATAAAGTTTTTACTACAAATTACGTTAAAAATAATCTCAGGAAAAGGATTTTAAATAATATTCATATGAATTTGTTTTTTTAATACTTATACGCGCTTTTAAACAATATACTGAGCCGTTTAAGTAAAAAACTATCGTTCAATATTAAAAACTAAATATTGAAATACTTCTGGGCCCTTGAAACCTAGTTCACAGTATTTCTCCACTCCAATTTCCCCGCAGGTGGATGGCAACGGAATGCCCGACCGGCGCAAGGTGAGCTACCTGCTGACCAAGGACCTTCGGGATCGGGAGCTGCGCAACTTCTTCACGGACACGGTGCAGCAGTGCTTCCGGTACTTGGAGAACATCGGAAGGAACAGGCACAACAAGTGCGCCGTTGCCCGGGAACTGGTCAAGTGCATGTCGGAGTACGCGAAGGCGCAGTGCGAGGATTGGGAGGAGCACGGCAACATGCTCTTCAACTAGCACCCAGCTTACCCCACTCTTCAGATCCTCGCAGTGGTCGAGGAAGCGCTCGTGGTTGTCCCGGATCCCGCCGTCGGTGTTCTCCTCCAGCTGGTAAAAGACGCACTCCAGATGCTGCTGCTTCTGGGCATGCATATCCTTGAAGCCGGCGGAGTCCTGCTCCCACTGGCTCAGCACCGCCTGCTTGTCGTCCTCGTAGATCACCCGGAAGAACTCGATGCGACCTCTGTGGGTGTCTAGAATGAGTTAAAGTTAGATATTAGATGAAACAGGAAAGCGTTTAAGGATAATGGTTTGGGCTTAGTGTATACTTTGAAATATTAATGTTATGTAAATTGTAATCATTTGTTATAAATGTATAAAATAATACTCCATTACTTACAGTTCTTATGAATCTTTAAACTTTAAATGAAACTTATTTTAAATAGTTTCAGGGGATACATTTTTATTAGATGTATACATTTAAGAGAGAGAATGGGATAAAAACAAGATGCTTTCAAAGTATTATTTGTATGTAAATTCCAAGTATTTACTAGAATATTTTTTGTTCTTATAAATATTTCAATGCAGTATTTATATTTTTAATAAAATATATTTCTATAAGTTTCTGGGAAAATATGTTTTTATAAATATATAAATAAATATTATAGTATAAATAAATATATGTATGTAAGTTCAAAGTATTTACTCCAATATTTTTGGTTCTTATTAATATTTCAATGCAGTATTTATATTTTTAATAAAACAAATTTCTAACAGTTTCTGGGAAAATATGCTTTTATAAATATATAAATAAATATTATATTATAAATAAACATAAATGTAATTGTATGTAAGTTTCAAGTATTTACTCCAATATTTTTGGTTCTTATTAATATTTCAATGCAGTATTTATATTTTTAATAAAACAAATTTCTAAAAGTTTCTTGGAAAATATGTTTTTATAAATATAAAAATAAATATTATATTATAAATAAATATAAATGAGTTGGAAATATAATAAATTATTGTTTATTCTTCAAGTACAAAATATAAAACATAATTTAAAGGGTATACAAAATACATGAAATGTCATTCCCTTTTATAATCGCTATATCGGTAACAAATATTTTACTATATGCTGCACCTACCAACGATTCTAGTGATGTTTTCCATATGCGACTGCTGCAGATTGGCGTACATGTCCTCGGTGGATTCTATGTGGGCAATGAGGCGGTGGATCACCTGATCCTTGCGTTTCAAAGCCTCCTGGAAGAAGGACTCCACGTCGACAATCTCCCGACGTAGTTCTTGGATTTTAACCTGGCGCAGAATGCTCCGCCATTCCTGGTTGATTTTGGCCATGTTTAAGCGCCCAAAAGCATCCTCCCTTTTCAGTTTGTTCTGTTTGCAGAAAAGTAGCTTTAAATATTTGATTATTTCATTTAGGCCCAGGAACTGATACCTTCATGTACATGGAAATGAGTTGCATTTTCCGTCGCCTCGTTTCCTCCTCCATGTCGGCCCTCATCTGCAAATACCGGGCCCGCTCCTCTTCCGACATTTTGGCCAACTTATTGCCTTTACCTTTACCCTTTTTGCCCATGATTCTGTTTTTTTAATTGTCCAAAAATACGCTTATCAAATTTCAAAGGCTAATTTCTGACTAATTAAGCAAGCGAAAGCCGCGCGTCGAAAAATAAATAACAATTTGAGTGCCGGCGTTGCTACGGCAATATACACCAGCCCACCCACTCCAGCTCACTTTATTTGTCCGTCGTCAAGTTTGTTACCATAATAATGGATTCAAATTAAATTAATGCGAAACATTGCGAATCGCCATTTGGGCTGTCCATCAAAGGGGAACCATGTGACATATAAAACGGGGGACAAATCGCTGGAAAGCTGTCATCATGATGAAAACTGGCTTTGTGGTTTGTGTGGTTCTATCACAGCTACTGGTAGGTATTTATTTGAAAACTTAGTCTTTCATTTATTATAATTAAATGTAGTAGATTTGATTTTACAAGAAAGAAGTCAAAAATATAAATGTTTAAAGCTAATTCTAAGAAATCAATTCCAAATCGATCATTATTATTTTGCAGAATGGAATTTTGGCTATCCGCGTTCACTGCAGACACACGGAGAGAATTCATGAGGAAAACATTCACCACTGCTGCCAGCATCCTGATGGCCATAACGACATTACGGAAATGTGTGCCAAGCAGACCAACTTCCGACTCCCGAATCCCGAGGAGGAGGCCATGGAGGATGTGACGGTGGACCAGGCGATGGTCGGAACCTGCTGGGCCAAGTGTGTCTTCGACCATTTCAATCTGATGGAGAATAGCACTTTGGATATGGTGAAAGTGCGCTCGTATTACAAAAGTTACCATAAAACCGATCCGGAATATGAAACAGAAATGTTGAATGCCTTTGAGAAATGTCACTCGAATTGTAAGTTGTGTATTTTTGAAAGATTTTTTATTTGATTAGCAATTTCCCATTTTAGCTGAGGATGCCACCGAACAGTTCCTATCACTTCCAATTATAAGAGTCTTTTCCACCGCCAAGTTCTGCAAACCGACTGCTAGCATCATTATGTCCTGCGTTATATATAACTTTTTTCATAATTGTCCAAAAAGTCGATGGTCCAACTCCACCGAGTGCGTGGAGACTTTGGCCTTTGCCAAAAAGTGCAAGGATGTGCTGACAACAATGTGAAATTGCTTAAATATTAAAATGACACCATACAATAAATCATGTATTCAACAAATTGTATTTGAAGTTAATATATGTTAACTTTATGAATTTTTAGGAACGAAATCGGAATACACACAATTGTTGTAGATGTATGGAAATAAGCAGTGTGTTGTAAAATCAAAGAACAATAAACGCCATCGAGTTTTATGCCTAGTTTTAATTTTTTTTTACATTTTCTATTTTGTTTTGGGAGAGATTTTGGAATTTTGAGAGCTTATTCAAAAAATGTTTCATTAGGAAAAAACAAAATAAATATTAAAAAATATATGTTTATCTGCTGAGATTTCAATTAATTTATTAATGTTATATTAGGATTCTTATGCACTAGTTTTATTTTTTAGCATGAACCAAAGTTTAACACTTTCACTTCTAAGAGAGAATATTATAATACAACAAAATAAAAATGAAGTAATAGTTTAGTTTAGTTTCTTGTTATTTTTGAATGTTCTTTATTAATGAAAACCCAGTTGCAAGCACCTACAAAGTGGCCAGTGAGTCCTGGCACTTCTGGCTGAAGGCCAAGGTGTCCTCGCACTCCTTGGTCTTGGACCAACGATCCGCCGGGCAATTGTGGAAGAACTGACGGATGACACAGGCCAGAATCACACTAGATTTGGGTTCGCAGAAGTGCTGGGACACTTGCTTGAAGAGGGGCTTCGACAAGAACACGGATGTGTTCTCCTCACCTTTGGAAAAATTTATCAGTAAATTAAGAAGGGTTCACGAAAACATATGATACATACTTTTGCCATGACAATGATCGAAGGCGCTGATCATTTCCTTGACATATTCCGGATCGTCGACGAACTTGGTAGTAAAATACTTCCTCACGGCATCCATGTCCAGTTCGTTTTCCTTCATGAGATCCAGTTTGCTGAATACGCACTTACCAAAACAAGTACCTCGAATAGCCCGGTCCGCCGTGATGTCCACCAGTGCCTCCTCGTTTTGATTGGCCAACATGAAGTTGGTCTCCTTTGCACATTCCTCGATTATATCATTGTGTCCATCGGGATGTTTGCAGCAGTAGTGTATATGCTCTTCATTGATGGCCTCTGTATTTTCGCAATCAATTTTAATTCCACTAGCGAACTAAAATGAATGTTAATAATATGGATGGCTTTATTCCAATTCAGTAACTTACCCAAATCAGGCAGGAAAAACTCAACAGAAGCATGCACTTCATTGCTCGGCTTTCTCTGCCAAAATAAACGAATTTTTAATGCTTTTATAGTAGTTACCTAAATGATTAAAATGAAAACCGGAAATCATTGTCAATTTACCAAACGTCTGGCCATCAAACTGTCTGAAAATGTGTCTTTTTTCCGCTCATTTAATTTCAGCCATTACAACTGACATTTGTTACATTAAATTAAGCAATCCAATTTGGAATTAAATTGATTTATCCAAATAATGAGGGCGCATGGTTTTATAAATATTATGCCAATGGTAAATTAATCCCATTCGAAAAGCAATGGTCAAGTTTATTTATTGTTGGACAGTTTTAATACTGGTGGCCATTTCGGAGGCACAGGATTCGGAAGAAACTGTCGCTGTGGAAAGTTCTGTAGGGGATTTAACTGAGGATAAATGCAACAAGAATGTGAGTTGGGGATTATTTGGAAAGCCTTAAGAGAGTTGTAATAGCTTGACATAAATTCAGCGAGACGGTTGCTGTTCAGAGCTTTATGTAGGTGAAGAGGAGGACCTGGTCAAGTGTTTCGTTATACACTCGTCCAAATTACCGGAGGATGGGGACAGCGATGTGGGCAAGACCCTGAGGTTTCTATCGGTGGGTAAATATTTTATAATTGCTAAAGCTAGCAAAGCCTATATTACAAGTATACTTTCAAATTAAATACATATCCGCAGTGCTTTGTGGAGTGCCTGTACAAGCAAAAGAAGTACATTGGCAAGAGCGACACTATAAACATGAAGATGGTCAAGCTGGATGCGGAGAAGATGTATGAGGATCGTCCGAAGGAGAAGGAGTACCACATTGAAATGTACGATCACTGCCGAAAGGATGCAGTGGGCGTTTACAATCTGCTGAAGGCAAGTCCCGGGGCTAAGGTTATCCTGAAAGGAGCCTGTCGTCCCTACCTACTAATGGTGTTCATGTGCATGAGTGACTACCATCAGAAGCACGAGTGTCCTTATTTCCGCTGGGAGGGTTCCGCCAGTGCGGGAACAAAGGATCAGTGCGAGGATGCCAAGTCCAAGTGCTATCTAATAGATGGAATAACACTGCCCAAAAAGAATCCCATCTAAAAATATAACGACAAATAAAATCGAATTTGATGATGTAAACTTTGTATTTATTCGTATATTCATTCTGTAACTAATGACTACTTAAAATGAGTCAGTTACATCATTTTCTTAAAATTAACTTATCTACAAATTATTAAACTATCTTGATATCTATAATTTTTCATGTAAATTACCCGGAAACACAAATGCCGAAACCATTTGAACTTTTCAATGATTTTTGATTACCACAGCCTAACAATACGAAAATCCAATGTTCAAATCCAAAATTCAAATCAAAATCATAGAAACGTGAAAATGGTTTAAACCTTTTTGGTTGTAAATCTATGTTTTGATATGAAACATTTATTATGAACAATGGCATTAAAACTTTGTATGTCTTTCATAATGTTAACGCGAAAATGGTTTGTGGATATTTTTGTTGTAAATCTATGTTATTATATGCGACATTTATAGTGAACACGGACATTAAAACTCAGTATGCTTCTTAGTTTTAATCACACACTACACAATAATTACTCGCACTGACATCGGTTTGGGATGAATGAGTTTGACGTTCGCTTGGCCGAAGTTGCGGACCAGGATGGAATCAACAAGCTGATCCGATCACCGGGCGTCAAGTGGTTTGGCAACATCCGGCCGAAGTTTCGGGGCAAGGACTCCCTGTTCCAGGCCTATCAGACTTACAGGATGGTGGCCCTTAGCAGGCAGTCCTCTGCCTTGGTGGCCTACGCCGAGTTACGGAACTATCCGTCCATCGCCGCTCTGCCCACTGATTGCTGGCTGGAGTGGCTGTCCGTTAGATACTGGTATTCAGATGTCGGGGCTATCTTCCCCAGTCGATAATATCCTTTTCACCCTCAGTTTGACCCTGTCCATTAGTTGGCTTAATGCGTTGTTCTTCAACTTCTGCATCTACAAGAACGAGTACTCCATGGTTCTCGTCGAAATCATTAAGGAAGTGTTCTATAGGGAGAGCAGGGTGTGCTATCTGATCGCTGTTAGGACACCGTTTGTGCGACAGCCCTCGCACTTCATTGAGTCCTTCGATGATTTGGAAAAACTATCCGAGGTCTTCTATCCGAAGGAGTTTAGCTCGGAAAAGAACTCCAACACGCAGGCTCTATACATTGTGGATCGGGCTGTCCTGCTGCCGAAGATGACGTACCGGAAGGCGCTGTAAGTGGTCAAATTTAATGGTATACCATTTTTTTGTATAGTGAAAGAGTTAAGTTGTATTTGTAGAAAAGTATTATATATAATTTGTATTAGGAAAAATTACCAAGTCGATCTAGCCAACTGTAAATATTTATTCAATCAATATCTAACTTTTCCAAATCGAATTTCATATTTTATTCTCATGGACAGATGGCGCCTCATCTTGTTGCCGTGCTATTAAAATGGCAATTGGCGCCATCTACTGTGGCAATTTTAAATTGGGTAACGGTGTCGGGGCAATTTACTAAGGCGTTCTTGTTATTAATAAATTGGGAGCCAATAAGTCGGTTAATCAGAATTACATAAGGATTTATTGGAATACTTCATTATTTTGGATAGAATATTTTTAATTAAATTAAATTATTAAGTTATTCACAAAATAGGTGAGAAGGGCCTATTCACATAGATGATAGACTAAAGCTTTGATTATGATAATCACTTCTTCGTTGGTTTTTGTTTAAGTATCTCATAATTTAATTTAAGCGCCGAGGACAACGATGATATAATAGCACTCCAAGAAATCGAGATGCCCGAACTCAGAGAGGAGCTGGGCGACTACTATATAGCCGAAGAGGTGATGCGACAGGATTCGGAAGCCGAAAAGAGCTTTCTGGTCGTGGCCGAAACAAGCAATCAATGCGAGGAGACCGAGATGGTCCTCTTCCTTTGGATGACCACGGACATCGACATCCTGTTCTATGTCCGCAACTATGAGGTGGAAGCTTTCGGAAACTTGGTAAAGCCCGTCGATGGCAAGTCGTTCCACTACGAAACGATACCGGTGTCGTAAGTGTGGGTCCCCTAGTGGAGAGACTTCTTCCTAATAATGTATCCTGCAGATCGGTCCAGCGCAGGGCGGAGGCCAGCATGTTCACCACAGATGCCCTGGACGATCTGGATGCTATGACGATTCTGGGAGGTCTGCAGAGGGTTGACAGCGGTATGAGGTGGGCAATACTCAGGCATACTATTTTTCTCAGACGGGCATTATCTTATTTTTCGTTATCAATTCGAATAGTAATTTCTTATATAAGAAAAAAGTTAAATATTTCATTTCGTGGGAAATAATGATTCGATTTCATTCTGTTTATCCAAAGGTAACATATAAAGCTTTTTTTTAACAGCGTTGCAAGCCTGGGTAAGATGAAGGTTAGCTCTATCGCTGGCACAATTGTGGATACCCACGTTTCCGGCGACAACAAGTTCTACATGCGGGAACGCCTGTACTCAAAGTTCAAGTACATCCTGGAGAGTAAGTTTTGCAGTTGATCCCAAACGCTACTTGCTACATCATTCTTGACCACTTAGAGCTCCACAGCACCGGATACTACTTGCGCAACGAAGAAAACGTAATTAACTTCATATATCCTGCCGGAAAGGATATCGCTGGTTCGGCGGCTAGAAATGCGGCTTCGAACGTTTTCCTTCTGAAAAGTATTGTGGCCCGACAGGACTTCACACCACGCCTTTTTAACGCCATAGTGGCCATGTTCTGCGCTTATCCTGATCGCGATTACTGCATAATGCTGATAGCCGCGAATAAGAAGGCCAACCGGAGCTATGTAGAGGTGTTGCAGTACTTCATGGTAAGTTAACTGGTTAGTTCAGTGATGAAGGAGTGCTGGTTTACTTTTAAATATCTAAAATTTAATATATTTATCTTTTAACGTTTTCTATAGTAACTCTAGTTGTAGTGTCCTATAAGACTTGATCATAACACTTAATTATGTTACAAGTTAAGACAACGGACTATCATAGTTAATTTATATTTCTTTCATATGTTATTTTTATTATTTTTATTATTTTAAAATTAATATAGTGTATTTTCCATACTTTTAACGCCCAGCCAGTGGTCTCGCGTCCCAGCAGTGTGTGCAACCTTGCCGAGGTATACATAACCCATCGGAGCACCATCTTCGGAGAGATCAGCCTGTACAAACTACAAAAGGAAGACGTATCCGTGGTGCACACCTTGGCCCTGGGGAAGTTGTCCAATGAGGCAATTTCCCGTGATTCCACCGCCAGCAGCTTCTCTTACTGCTCCAAGATAAACGAGCGGGCGGAGCTGGAGCACGAGACTCATGTTCTCGATGCGATCATGAAGGATGTGCTGGAGAACGAGTTCAGTGAGTTCGCGGTGTTCACCATTCGCTGTGGGAACTCTACGAAGTCCGCCAAAGAGAACACTTCGATCGGGTTTGTGGTGCTTCGGCAATTCCACAGTCATGGCCAGCTCTTTGATCACTACCATTTGCCGAAGCACGACACACATTTGCAGCGACTGAGGGCCGAGATCATATCACTGCGACTGCATCCTCTCTTCGTGGTCAGTGCCGATCTGATCTTCAGGGATTTGGCCAGGAAGACCAACTTTTACGACTTTTTCTTCATCAGTCCGTTTGAGGTAAGTTGTTAGGATGCTGAGTTAAGCGGACTTCCAAAAAAAATACTTTGCAGGGACATAGGTACACCAACGACCTAAAGAAAATGATGATGGTTGTGGAACCGAAGACCATTAAAAAAGCTCCTGTTTTCTTCAGAGTCCCCAATGAGCAGAAAAAGCCGAGGAACAAGTTGAACCTTCCCAGTCCCAATTACTCCAAGGATTATTTGATCATCTACCGCCACAAACTCAATCCGGTGAAGTGGTTTACCAACAGTAAGAAACTGGTCATCATTGGATTCAGTGCTGTGACCAAGGCCTTCCTGAGGCAGCTCGTCTTCCAGTGGAATAGCAGGGAGTGAGATCTAATTTTATATAAACTACAATGGGTTTCTCTTTAGGTGTAATTTCCTTTCAATCTAGACTTTACTTAAATGAGCCCATATACAAAACACCGTTCCTCCAGCTTAGTTCTCAGAATCTTAATTTTTCTTCCTGTAACCCATTTTAAAAAATATTTTCTGATATCCTGACTTCTCCACAGCCATAAAAACTCGGACAACTTCACATGCCTCAGCTGGTTGCAAGTAACCGTGATATGCCGGGCGGGTGTCGTGGAGGCGGACTACGACAGTCTCTTCAAGTGTCCCTATTGCACCAGCACCCTGGGATGCTACCTGTCCTACCAGAACGAATCCTGCTTCGTACGAGATTGTTGTGTGCGCCTCGACTTCCGGTACTGGGTGCACTTTGTGCCCGGCAAGGTGGAAATGATTAATAGGTCTTATAAGACTCATATAACTAATAACTGATTAACCATCCTTCGATATACACAGAGAGCAAAAGTTCGTTAAGATCGAATCGTGCGAAATCCACTATGACACGCTCCTGCTGATGTGTGAACGAAAGTTTGTGCTACGTTCTCCGGACATGCCTGTGCATACGGAAAGACCCTGCAATCTTGTCGAGGTCAACTTCCGGCTGAACAAGCTCCTGCTCTTCTACAAAGTCCGTGCGCTGCTAGAGGACATGCCGCGCACCTACTTGATCCTGGTTTATGGATCCAATTTGTCCACCTACGAGGGTATCGCCTTTCTGATTAGCCACGGCGTAGACTGCTCGCGAATGGTGTTTGTTCAGCCGCATCGATATACCTGCAAGGATCCGGATATAAAGGAAAAGAGTCCCTACTGGGACCAAAACCTGCAGCTCATCCTGGACGACATCCTCGCAGATAAGGGGCTTTTGATCTACATAGACTATAACTTTCACCACTACAACTTGCACAAGTCGTCCGACTTTATTATGGAGGTGAATTTCGAGCACTATTCCAGTCGAAAGCAGGCGACTTTCGAGTGCGACCTATTTATCTCTTTTGAGGAGGGATACCTTCATGAAAGGCACAAGCGCTGTAAGTACTCATAAGTAAATATGATTGGTAACTATTTTGTACAATTTAATAATTAAACGACCTTAGGGCTCAATTCGGCCAATATCGAGATAGATGGCAACGAAATTCTGGTAAACCAGCGCTACCAGACCAATGATCCGGACATCTATGCAGTTGGCAACTTTATCAAGATGCAGCCGAAGCCAAATTATCAGTACAGATTCGTCAGTGAGCGGGAGATGGCCCGCAAGGTGGGAAAAGCACCTATCGATTAATCAGATAATATCAGATAATAAGTACCCATTTATTTCCAGATTTTACACTATCTGGATATTGTTCCCGTTAAGGATTTCGAGGATCGATTCTCTGAGCCCCTGTTTTTCCAGGCCACTCTGCCGTTACGTTACTTCATTACCAAAATCACCTTGCCTCGAAGATTTTTAAGTTCGCACTTGCCCTTCATGGACAAGTGCAATTTGACGACGTACAAGAAGAACACATTCTGCCGGGTTGGCCTATCCAGGCATATGGTGGTCGATGAGATCGTGGTTGTAACGAAAATGGTAGGATTACTCACTCAAGTTTCAAATGCTATGTAACTATTGTTTTCCGCATCAGGAGTGTCATTTGGACTTCCTTCAGCACTTTTGTGGCAAGCACGAATTGCTCCTCAACAATCTCAGGTCGCGCTACAAGGCACAGACGATTCACTCATTTCTGAAGTACTTTCAAGAGCCCTGGACAGAATTGATAATGCACGAAAACTTTAAGGACCTTCAGGCGGAGAACAAAGAGCTCCTAAGCCCAATGGCCATTACCGCGCTAACAGTGAGTGTAATGACCTATATATATATAGACTTGAGTCTCAATTATTGCATATCATAGCGAGCAGACCGTGTATTGGGAAGTGTAACCGACATGGATTTCTCGACGCTGAACAGGCGCTACCTGGAGCTAAAGCTGCTGGCTTTTCTGAAAGATCATCGACGGGACTTTCGGCATAAGTTTGCCCTACCCGAGGATTTTCTTAAAGCGGATCAGCATGAGTGGGAGCGATACATGAATAGGACGCCGGATGAGACATCTGAAGAGTCAGACTCCTAGTTTGTAGAACCGAAGCAGTCCGTTTCCGTACTTTCTGATTTCCTTTTGCAGTGCTCCAACTCAAATACAAGTTCAACTAATTTTTTGAAAAATGCCCCGAATTCATGATACTGTTTTTGTCGTCACAGCGGGAATTCGGGATCTGCCACGCATAGAGGATCTCTATGAGGCCAAAAACACGTGGCACTTTGGGGTGAAGGATACGCCGCCGCTGGAGACCCTGTTCTTAAGGAACCAGGCCCAGCGACTGTTGGTCTACAATAAACAGGAGTTTCACATAGTGCTGGCATACTGCGAGTTCGCTAACCATCCAAATATTCCGGTGCTATCTAACGAACTGTGGCTGCACTGGCTCAATGCGCGGTTCTGGTACGTTGAGAGATTGGGAGTTTTTGTTCAACCCCGCAACTTTTTAACGAATCTCCAACAAAAGCCTAGATCTTCCTATCACGCTGCTCAACTCCATCTTTTTCAATTTCCTTATCTGCAAGACGGGCCAGCCCGATATCCTTAAGCTGATCATCCTGGAGGTCTTCTATAACGAGCACAAGGTCAACTATATAATAGTGGTTAAGCCGCCGGATTGCCCGCCAGGCCAATACGATGCCGTTCAGGCTTTTGGAAAGACCTACTACCCCAAGTACTCCAAAATCTCCGAGCAGATGCATCTTCCATCGGTCATCGTGATCCATCGACGGGACGTCATGCCAGTTCTCTCCTTTCGCAAGGCGCTGTGAGTTGCTCCCCGAAGTCCTTCTCCAAGTTGTTTTTTTTTTTTCATTCCAGACCTGAGGACAACGACGACATTGTTGAGATGATTGACTCCGAGGATCCGGAACTGCGGAAGAAGCACGGCGACTTTTACATTGCAGAGCACCTCCTGAGTATGGAAGGATCCGATCAGACTGATAACATTATTATTGCTGAGGTGCTGTGGTATATTTCCTTTTATGAGTTGCTTAACCCACAGTTTATTGCAGTTCGAGGAAGAGATTGCTGATAATGTGAAGGGAGCGGGCTTGATGTGGCTGTCTGAGTCCATAGACATTGAGCATCTGGCCACGAACTTTCACTTGGAGCGCTTGGGCAACTTGGCGCGATATACTCCGGGGATTAAGCACGCCCGTGTGCATTTCGATGTGTTGTAAGTGGGTTAAACTAAAGATAAGTCATCTACTTTGAAAGCTTCCCTTTTATAGTTCGGTGGAACAAAAGTCTTACAAGGATTTATACACTGAGACGCAAATGGAGGAAATATATAAAACGCTTGTAGATGAGATAAACCCAGAAAGACAAACTAAAGCGAAGGAAGTTCTTTTCAGCAAATACAAGCATATTTACGAAGGTAATGTAAACCAATTAAAAATAACACCTTTCTTTATATACCTTTATTTTTGATTGCGTAGAGCTCCGGAAAGGGAATTACTATATGAACGCATTTAAGGACAAACTGGAGATCGCTTTTGACTTGCCACCAGGCGAGCACTCGCATAGCGAAAACCGGGTGCAGTACTTGGGGCAGGCGTGCAATGGATTCCTGCTGAAGATGTTTCAGTTGCACCCACTGGTGCGCTTTGAGTACACATTCTATTCCCTGTCGGCCATGTTCAGTGCCTTCCCGAACCACGACTACTGTGTGACCATGGTGCCTTCCACTGCGAGCACAAGTCCTTGCCAGCGGGAACTGCTCCGGTTCTTCTTGGTGAGTTGAAAGACATTGATCTAAGAATTCCCTGGGGATTTCTTCTATTGCTTACCTTTTTTCAGCCGGTTGCCCATCGTCCGAACAGTGCTGTCTCCGAAAACATGTTCGTTGCGCATCGAAGTACCTTGTTTGGGGATCTCCGGGTACAGCGTTTAGAAAGACAGGAGATTGAGGAAATTAAAACCATGATAAGCTCGCCGTCTCGCAAAAGGGACACTGTGTGCACTGAGGAATTAGATGATGGTAACGAACTATATAACAGAGATTATATAACAGAGATCTTGGAGATTTTTGAAGATATCGTTGAGGATATCCTTGAGAATCCTTTGAACGAGCTGAGCTGCTTCACCATTCGTTGTGGTCAATCCAAGAAACACTTAGACTGCCCCTTGGTGGGCTTTTTGATACTGAGGTGCAGTTAAAAATGTTATGTGTAATACCTAACCTAATGCCAACCCTACAGCCCTTTTATACATTATGAAGATCTATGCAGCATATTCATGATGCCACGAGATCAGTTCCAGCTGACCCACAACCGTGGAGAGATAGTCATGTTTAGGCTGCATCCGTTTTTCCAGATGTGGTGCAATCCAATAATTCGCACGGTGGCCTTGTATGAAAACTACCGAGAATTGTATTATATAAACCACTTCAATGTTTGTTGAAATCGGGCTTGTATAGTCTGGTGGAATTTACTAAGAGCTTTCCCCTTTGCAGGGAATCTCGCTGCCCAACGATCTGATGTACAACATGATGCCCGTTGAGCCGCGCCGCATGAAGAAGAACCTATTCGGTTACAAGTGCATTTCATATAAGCGACGGATGTCAAAGATGTCGCGTTCTTCCAATCCGGATTCGTGCAGCAGTCGCATGCGGGTCTTTTGCCACAATCTTCAGCCCACCATGCACATGGGTGGCAAGAACTCCCTCGTAATCGTGGGCTTCTCGCAGATCTGTATCGCCTTCTTGCGTACCGTCATTTTCGCCTGGAACTCTAAAGAGTAAGAATTAACTTTCTTTAGAGAATCTTATAAGAACACAACGACTGTGTGATTCCAATAATACAAAAGCCCCTCCTACGAGGTAAAAAGTCGTCACGATTACACCTTCAAAACACAACATTTTTGCTTAAACATTCAACTAAATGTGTACCTTTTCTAGAATTTAAAAGCGCTTTTCTCTTAAAAGTGATTTCTTAAACTGTTGATCTGCATATGTTACTTTTCGATCCGATCAGATCATCACAGATTTGTGATGTGCTTTGCAAACTCTTCACAGTGATTCAGTGTTCATACAATTAAACCCTTCAATTAACAAGCTAAAATTTTAGATAGAAAGAAAACCAAATATTTTATATGACTAAAATCTAAAAAAATGCATATAATTAAAATTATCTTATAACATTTTTGATTTGATTTTATTAAGAATACTTTGTTGCTCGAAGCAATGTTACGAAAACAGACCAAGTTAAAATGTATTATTTATTTGTTATTTTTAATGTTTCGTTAATATCGTTCGATGCGTTAAAGGAAGGTATAAATTGATTTCTCCACTAGTTTGATCAATTATAAGAAGTACAATTGTCTGCCCATGGTGGACATCACGGTACTGGTGCCTCATGGAGTTGTGGAATCGGCCTACGACTGCGAATTCATGTGCAGCTACTGCGGCGATGGCAGGAATTGCTATATAAACACCGGAAACCAGAATTCCTTTGTCAGGGATACAACGCAGCGCATGGATGTGAGGCATTGGGTGCGTTTCGTTCCGGCAAAGCTTAAAAGAATAAATAGGTAAATGCTGCAAGTCCATACTTTATGACGATGCACGGGTGGCACTACATAAATGAGCACAAATTATTTTAGCTACTTCATTTTGTCAACTTATTAGAATTAATTAATTAAAGATGGCTCCACTTGTATTTCTACTGGCGCGCCAAATAAAAAAGATGTGGCGCATCTGCTGTTAGGGGATATTCATCATCATTTTCGTTGTTATAACTTCTGAAATAATTTTTCGATTCCAAAAATTTGTTGTGTGTGGATAAATGTTGATCAAATTTTTATATAGCGCCCAAAAATATTTATTTACCATGTCACTATAGAATTTATAATAATAACTGGAATCGGCATTTTAAATTCAATATCGTACATACAGACGGTATCTAGCCATATCGACTTTATTCTAATAATGAATATACACCTCTCACACCCTTTTCATCGAATACAATATACCCTTTTACTCTGCGAGTAAGTGGTGTAGATATAATACTTGCCTCCCAAATTAACTTGGTATTAATTTACTACTATCTTCCTTAGGCAGGAAAAGAAGCTGCAGTTATTAGACGGCTGCATCCTTCACTACGAGAAGCTGGTCCTGCTGGCTGGCACAAGGTTCGGTTTTGAGGACAAGGAATTCAACGGGTATTTGATGCCGTTAAACTATGTAACCAACAATCATCGCCTGGACAGGATCATTTTCTACCACAAGCTGCGTGAAATGGTTGAGACTGGTGAGACCTACAACATCATAATCTACGGATACGGATTGGTCGTCTACGAGTGCATTCAGTTTTTGGTCACACATGGTTGTAAGAACCAGAACATTACATATGTGCAGCCCCATGTGCCGGCGGTGATGGAGGACTTGGGCAATCCCGAGGTCGACTCTCGGCTGGATCCGATCATCCTGGAAATGGTAGCTGATCTGGGGATCACGATTTACTTGTCGACCAACTACAACAAATTTATTCTAAGCAAAGACAATCAGTTCATCGAGCAGGTCCACTTCTTGTCGTTTCCAAGCAAGAAACTAATAGAGTTGAACTGCGATCTCTTCGTCAACTACAATCCCAATAGTTTGACATCGTCTTTGGAGACTGGTTAGATAATATAATGTTGGATTATCGCATTTACCTTCTAATGTCTCGTCCTTTTGCAGTTCTCCAAAATGCAGGAATCGAGATGATCGACAGGAAGATCGTGGTCAATGCACGATACGTGACCAATGACAGGAACATCTATGCCTCTGGCAATATAATTATGGTGCCCACTCCCAACTTTCAGTACACTTCCACCAGCCCGCAAGAGTGCGCTGAAAAAGTCAGTATCTCCTCAAAGTAATTCTGCTAACAGCAGTAATTCTGCTAACAAGTTATCTTCTCATTAGTTGGCCTACGAGCTGAACATGGTGAAGATTGTGATGCAGTCGCGATACTCAAGGCCATTCGCGTTCACGGGCCAGCTTCCTATGGGCTATCACATCATCAAGTACATCCAACCGAAGCCGCTGCTCATCGGTCAACTGCCCATTGATTTTTCAGAGACTATGACCACCTACGAGAATGGAGACTTTTGCCGCATTCGACTCAACAAGAAAATGATTGTCATAGAGATTGTCTGTGTCAGCAAGACGGTATGATGTTATTTCGAAAATAGCACCAGGCAGTTAAATCCCATAATTTTCTACATCCAGCCGAAACGTCTTTACTTCATGGAGTTCTTCTGCGGCAAACATGCCACGTTGCTTAATGACTTGCATGGTCGTTTTCAAGCCGGTTGGATTTCAAACTTCTTGCACTTTTTCCAACAACCCTGGACGGAGCTTATAATGCACGACAGATTCGAGGACCTGCAACTGAAGAATCGCCGACTTCTGCTGGCCATGCTGCTGATGAACAACAAGGATAATGACAGGAATAGCTTGGAGTCCACGCAGAGACAGAAGCTGGAGACAAATGTAATCGATTTTGTACGAACCTATCGCAAGGACTTCACTCATGAATTTGCTCTGCCCGAGGATTGGGGTGTCTTTAATCTATGATTTACTTTACTTCAGTTTTTTATATTTCAATACTCCCATATGTTTTTTTTTTATTGAGTACAAAATAAATCATATCGGAGAGTCTAAATATAGGCGTGTAAATTGAATTACAAAAAATTTAAATCTCCAAAAAATAATATTGAACGCAGATATTTATTTATATGTATCTTTTTGTATTGCATACAATGCTAAATAGTTAAACCAATTGCAAGTTTTTACATTGCTCAACATATAAAATCTATTAATAATCGAACGCGATAGCTTTCGTTTGGGATTAGCCTACAGATTTAGTTATTCGGTTGATTCTGTTAAAGTTAGCTAGCTCGATTAGTATAACATTTTACTCCTTAGGTCTCACTGTTAGCTTAATCATATATACTACAAGGGGATGGGTTTCCAGACTCGATCCGCTAAAGGGGAGAACAAGTCGGTGTTCGGCGCCGCACTTGATCGCGGTTGATGGACAGGGGACTGAGGCCACTGGGGAAGACAATGACATGGTGGTTGAGCTGGCCTCATATGCCCTGCAAGAACCTTCGTAACTCCTCCTCAGTGTCGAAGATCATGACCGGGAAGGGTGATCCTGGCACGAATTCGCCGGCCCATTTCACCTCTACTCGATAGTCGCCAGGTTCGGTTGGATCATACTGAAGATTAAAGAGGATATAGTTAGCTGTTCATAGATCTAGCGATTGCCGATCTCACCTTGCAGAGAATGGTGCGATCCTTCTGACTCTCCCGCTGCATTTCCACGCGGAAAGCTCCCTTGGGTCCACGAACCCGGACTGTGAGTTGACCAGCTCCCGCTCCTCTAGTGTCGCAGATGAAGCGCGATTGGAAGGTGGCCAGCACGCCATGCTCGATTCCAGGTCCATAGACACGGACCTAAAAAGAGAAATTTTGTTCGAATTAGATATAAAATAAAAACTATATTTCAATGTCAACCCACCTTACTGGCATCCGGTGCTCCGGCCACTTTCAGGGCGAATGGTGAGCCCGGAACATTCTGTCCTCCGTATTTGATGGTCAGCAGATGACGACCCGGCTCCTGAGGCTTGATGTTCAGGGTGAATGTCGCATCGCCATGATCGTACAGTTCGCAGTAGGCCACCTTGCGCACGCCAGCACAGTGAGCAGTGAGTTCACCAGGTCCTGCTCTCCTCGTATCTATCCAGGACTTGATGTCCTTGCCGACAATCCCGTGACGCAGTCCCTCGCCGGAGGCAATCACCTTCGAGGCATCCATAGAGGAGCCCACTGCCACGGTAAGCGGACATCCCTTCACCAAGCGACCGTTCCACTTCACGGAAAGATTCAGAGTGCCAGTGGTGGACTTAAGGGGGGTGTACGAGGCCAACCAGATGTTTTCGCTGGGCCGGGGCTGCGCCAGACTCACCGGCAGCGATGTGTTGTCCTGGCTGGTGAGGATCACCTCCGGCCTGCCAGCCGGCGCATTCGAGGCGTCGATTGTGAAGTGGGCCGCTTCTCCAGCCTGCGCCGCCGCCAGTCCGCGTCCCATTAGCTGCACCTTATCCGCCGCCTGTTGACCCGTGACGAAGGCACTTCTAGGACACTGGGTGATGGTCAATCCGCTCCAGGTCAAGTCCAAGTCATGCTCGCCGGCAGCCAAATTCTCGCCAGTGATGTTCAGGCACATCTTGCCATCGACCAGCTTGTCCACGGGTATTTCGATGCCATCGATGCTGCAAACCAGCTTTCCCGGACCCGCGTTCTCCACATCGAAGATGATTCGGGCAGGCAGAATCAGACGGCCGTCATGATCCACCAGAGTGCCCCAGCCACCCACAGGGGTGACCTTGTTGGACTCCACGCAGCTGATGTGCCAGGGTGATCCCGGCAAGCTTCCTCGATTCGGACAGCTGGCTCGGATCTCGTATTTGCCCACGGAGAGAATTGTGTACGAGATGCGCCACTCATTGTTGCCCAGAGCCTTGATCTTGGGCTCTATCCGCTCGCCGTACTCGTCCAAGCGTTCGATCTGGACATTCGGAGCAATGGGACAGTAGACCACGAAGGAGGCCTCCTTGTTCCGGTGGCACACCTCCAGGCCGTGTCCAGCCGCCCGGGCATCGTTCCGCACTCCACTGGAGGAGGCGGTGAAGTTCAGCGGGGAGCTGGGAATCGTCTCTCCTCCGTACATTAGGGTCAGCTTGTAGTTGCCCGGCTGCGAGGGCACAAACTCCACGTTGTAGACACCCTCCGACTGCTCGCTAATTAGCACGGGCAGACTCTGATTGCTGGGCGAGATGGCGAAGGCCTCCAATTCGGCGGTTCCGGCATTATCCGTGCGCACGGTGAAACTGTTGGGACTGTGCAGGGCCAGCGGCTCCTTGGTGACGCCCTGGGTGGTGACCTTGCTGCTGTCGAAGGATTCGCAGGTGAAGGGACTGCCAGGCAGCGGCTTCGATTGGTGGAGCACCTCTGTTGGGGTCAAGGATTAGATTAGTAAACCTGGAATTCCTAAATAAGACTACACCACTTACCAATCACACACTGTCCCGGCTTGTTGATGGTGAACTCCGCCTGCAGGTGTCCGTTCTTCGTCTGATAGCACCTCACGGGCAGAGCTTGTCCTCCTGGTCCGGAGACCACCACGTCGAACTCCCTGGCTGGTCTTTTCACAGTGTCGATGGCGAAGGAAGTGGTTTTCCCCACTCGAGACTGATACAATCCCAAGCCGCTGACGCTGATTTCCTTGCCAGCACTCGCGGGCAGCACACTGATCTCCAGGGGCTTCAGCGAGATGGGCACTTCGTTGAACAGGATGCTGATCTTGTGGGGAGCCACACGGGTGGGCTGGTACACAATCTCGTACACCCCCGTCTTACTGGGTCCGCGGATGGTGTGCGGCACTTCGGTGGCTCCACAACGCACTAGGGCAGAGAGATCTCCCTGGCCAGCCTCGTTCAAGGACACCCAATGCTGGCCGGCCGATGGCAGAAGGCCTCGCTCACCTCGGTGATCTTCACCAGAGTGGGATCGAAGACGCACAGAGTGCGGGATCCAATGTGCTGACGGGTCTCGCGATCTATGAATCGCAGTGTGTAGTTCCCGGTCATGTGGGTGCGGAACTCCGCCGTCTGCCTGTTAATCGAATACGGAACGGACTTCTGATCCGGCGAGAAGATCTCAACGATCTGATCGTCAGCTGGGAAATCAATGGCCGCCAAGCTACCAATCTGAATGTGCTGGGTGTGCTGCTGGATGTCCACGCGGAATGGACTTCCATCCACGGCCACCTCGTTGAAAGTGATGTTCACGTAGTGGGGTTCCGTGCTCTGGGGCACGAAGGTCACATCGTATAGTCCGCGGGCACAGGCCACCACCTCGGCCTTGACCGTGCTGCTGTCCGTGGAGACCACCAGCTCCAGTGTGCCCTCACCAGCTCCTGCAGCGTCCACACTGAAGGTCACCGGAACGCCCAGGTTAGCCGGTCCATACTGCTGCTCCAGTCCACTGATGCTCACCCTGGAGACATCGAAGACATTGCAACTGAAGGGGGATCCGTTTATGTGCTGATCGTTTGCCGTCACACTGATCAGGTGACGACCCACAGTGGTGGGCCGGAAGGAGGCGGAGTAGCTGCCTCCGTCGTGCTGACTCAACTGGCAGTGCTCATTGTCCCCCGAAGGCGAGGTCACAAAGATCTGCGGCTCCACGCCCTCGAAACCCTCGAGCTCAAAGGTGTTGTCCATCTTGACGGCTGCCTGCTTCAGGCACTCACCCATGGCCATGGCCCGAGGCAGTCCCATCGAGGGCGAAGCCGCTGCAGCGGCGATGTGGCAGCTGAACGGCGAACCCGGCACCGGATGTCCATTGAATCGCACCGACAGCGAGTGGGTGGCCGCCTCCGTGGGCTTGAAGTTCACCTTGAAGCGGGCATTGCCCTCGGACTGGACAAAGTTGGGCACGTTCTTGCCATTGACGGCCACAATGATCTCCAGGTTGCCAGCTCCCGCCTGGGAGGCATTGATCCCAAAGCTCACACTCTTGTTAACCACGCCAGCCCTGATGTCCGTGACGATAACCTTCTCGGCGGAGTAGGCCTTGAGTAGGAAGGGACTGCCCTCCACGTGACCGCCACCGGGCAGGCGAACCTCCACCGAGTGGTCACCCACCTCCATGGGCTCGAACTTGACGTTGTAGCCCAGGGTGGACGAGCCCAGTGGGTCGATCTTCACGGGCACACTTCGCCTAGCAGGACCCAGTACTTCGACCGAGGGTTTGGTATCCGACTCAACGACGAACTCGAACAGCCTGCCCACGCTGACCTTGTCCATGGTCTCCGGCGATTGGATGCGGGCGGCGGCTGCCACGCGACAGGTGAATGGGGAGCCGGGCACATCCTGGCTGTTGAAGCGTAGCTCCACCGTGTGACTCTCAGCCTCGCGTGGCGTGAAGCTGATGGCATAGGTGTGCTGACCTTGGGCCTGGGCGGAGGTCGGAACCCTGCCCCCGTTCACGGTCACTTCCAAATTGCCGGGTCCGGCCTGGGATGTCTCCACCAGAAAAGTGACAGCCTTGCCAACCGTTCCACTGCTCACATTCTTCACCTTGATGGCGCTGACATCGTAAACCTAAAGAAGAACACATTTTAGTGGAAGGAAGTCGAATGCATTACTGAGCCGTAAGCCAGTTCTCGGAATATCTTACCAAGGTAAATAAATAAAACAATACTCTAGGTACTAATTTTTAACTTCTGTAAATACGGTTTGGATTAACGATCTGCAGGTTGAAACGCTTTAAACTTCCGGAAAACGTTTAGATTTTTAGAACAATATTGTTTACACAAAATTAAATTTATTACAAAAATGTAAATAGGTTTAAAATTAATTGCACACGTCTGTAAACTTTTCCCATTTAAATTGCAGTATTCATTATTAATTAAATTTTTGAAAAGTAGAAAAAACGTATTTTTTTTAAATATATCGACTGCCATAGAAAAAAAAGGCTTCAGCTTGTCCTTAATTTAGTTTACTTCAGGTC